TACCGATTCGTACACACTTTTGTAACACAATATACAGAAGATGAGAACATCATACGAGAAATAGATGATGTTAAGTATTTTAGACTATGGATATCTGTTAAAAATCGATTAACTACCGTACCATCAATTAACCGCTACTATTAGTGTATATAGCTGTACAGTGTATACCATAACACAATTACTGCATAACTAACTGTGACCACAATTATTATTGTACCATAGTGCATTATCTGCTGTGTGGTACTTACAGCCTGCAGTTGTCAAACAAGCGACTGACACCGGCCCCGAAATTCCGTCGACCTTCTAACCGCTATTTCTGAATGTCCTGTTGCAAACGGTTGGACATGCTCATTGATACAGTTAACAGTAAACAGTACCGTAAAGGGTTATGCACCTGTTGATATGTATTCTGGTCGTGTATCAACAGAACTACTTTCTCAAAAATTAATTCAGCATAATATGAGGTGTATAAAATATAACCACAAACAAACTAAACTTGCACTAAGAAACAATATTTTTTTATATTTTTTTGAGTAGTTTAGAATTCCAAATTAAATGATAATTAACAAAAATGAAACATTAAATGTTACTTAAACAAATAAATCGTATACAAAAGCTGTTAGTGTGCGTTCAATTTTTTAATTGAGCGCACACCAACAGTCAACTGTTTTTTGACAGTTTTAGTCTTTTACCCAAAACAAAGCACTTCTTATGGATACAATTAAGCAATATATATTTTGTTCTTATGAATAAAAAAAATAATCAGATTGTTCCATTTTACGTCATTTTAAATTATATTCTACAATATAAAAAGTCAATTTTGGATAAAAAAAACGCAATTTATTTTATTTAAACGCCCACTGTGTATAAAGTATTTTTTAAGGAGTATTCTAAACGACCGAACACTTACGATGGTTTTTTTGTCAAACAATTCTGAAACTAACTTAATGGTTTTTTTTAAATTAAATTTTATTTTATTTTCAATGCGAAGCTAAAAAGGTATTTGTATAAATTTATTAAAAACAAAACAAATGGTACTAAACTGATTTTTTACCGAATTATTTTACAAACATCTAACATTATTACGAGTATAATAATGTAGACAAAAATTATGGAATGTAAATATTCCAACTATAAACCTCACCTGTGTATATATTTTAATTTTACCATTTATATATTTGTATTGAATACATTTTTGAGAATAGCGTTTATCCTACTTAGTTATAATAATAATTTCTGAAAACCTGTGACCTCCCCCATTCTATCATACAACCCCATCATCCCCCTCTGCTGATTTTTTATTGCATAATTAATATTTATAGGGGCTTTAAATAATACCATTTATTATGTGAACCACCAACTACTAAATTAATAACTAATAATTCTTAACAACCAATTCGCTATTACATAATTATAGTGATTAAATTTGTATCAATTTAATTTAAGTTTGTATGTACTCAATGTATTCTATCAAAATGAATAAAAACATCCTAACAATTTTTTAAACATTAATAGTTTGAATGAAAGTATTTCAACATGAAGTATAAAAACTATTTTTATTAAAACAAAATTAATTTATCATTGTAATTATTACAAATGTATTGTTTTTATTTTTATAATATGGTTTTATTTTAAATATATTGTAAAATAAAAATATATAAAAAAAAATATTTCAGCTATAATATTGTATTCAGCTTGTAGTTTGTGGTTTCATAAATCAATGCTAACCTTACAAATTAATATTCAAATTGCTATACATTTTCACGAAAAATTGCAAAATGAAATTTTTACATGAGACAAAAAAAATGTTTGTTGTAATTAATTGGGTACTTTTCAGCTAATCAGCATTTGTAAAATAGTGCTCAACTTTCTGGTGCTGTTAGATCAGAAATTATAATTTAAACCACATTGTCATTTATTTTTTGATTTAAGTTTAAATTGTCGGGGTCTGCAACAGACAAACTTGATAGGTTAACTGGAAAATAAGCATGCAGCTAACGAGTTTTTTAATTAATAATACCTAGGTCATAAACTGCAGTACCGATAGTAATAAACCGATTGTATAATCATTTTTTTAACCTTTTTCTAGAAATAATTAGTCATGTAATTAAATCTTATATTTTACATAATATCTGTGTCCAAACATATTTTAATGATCATATTTACTTCGTTTTATAAATAATTTTTTATTTGTGAAAGGCGTACAGTACGTAATAAAAAATTGTAGATATTTTCATTCTGTTTAAAATAAATCTTAGTTAACTTTTTTTAATATTTTCACGACCAACGTATGAAATTCAAAGTTTACCCTACACTTTACCGGATAAAATAAGTTTTAATTAGATATTCACTTCTTACCTTTTACGCTCATTATAATATTGTCCAATAACCTTGATAATTAATTAGTTACTTTTATTTCTGTTCAACTGAATTTAGGTAACCATTACAACACTAACACTCGTTCAATGGTATTAGGTTTATTTTTAAACTAGTAAATTACAGTAACTAATTGTCTAGAGCTATTATTTTAATTGGTATTCCCTTTATTTTGCTTTTGTCTGAAACAATCATGTTTTTCGAACATGTACATTAAGCCAAATGTAAATATATTAAAGTTTAGATAATGTATTATTATATTCAATAATGAAACAAAGAGCCCCAAAGAAAATAGAATTTTTTTAATTCTGTTGTCACAGTTATATTACAATATAAATGTACAGTAGTTACTACAAAGGATTTATATATTATACACTATACCTACTAATTGTTTAAATTCATACTATAAACTTAACGGATAACTTAAGTTTACACTTATATAGCTAAAGCAACTATTATAACGCAGAAAAAAAATATCGAATGTAAGTATATAATGTGATTCATTCCTTGTGGTCGTGCCGAATATAATAGTCCTATATAATATGTTTAGGATACCTAGAATATATTATTTACTAATATATGTTAAATGTATTTTAAGACAACCGTACTATTGTTCTATAAGAATTACACGAAAAATGAATTTCTTTGTAATTTTGTATTGAATTGCAATTGTTGAAATAACTTATAAGTTAACTGGCAAAGTGGATAGCGAAGTGAACTTCCATGGACATATATTTTAGTTTTATAGGTCGGGTCATAAAAAATGTCCTTAATATAAATTGGAGTGAACATGTTAAGTTGTTTTTGAAATAATTACTACTTTTAAGTTTCAATGAAGTAACTACCTGATAAATATTAAAGGTTAATTTAGGTATAATTTAAACGAGGAAATATATCACAATGCTCAAGGTAAAGAATAGATAGGCACATTATGTTTAAGGCTTCATACACGTGTGATTGGAATTTAAAGTTATCAATTGATTATAACATAATATAAACTATATAGTATTCGAAATCGGAAATATTATGTCTCCTACGAATGTGACACAACATTAAAATATCAGAGAAACCAAATTCAGACTTGATGCGTTTCAGTGCCATTTTCACTTGGATAGGTACACATGTATATTTTTTTTTTACACATAATTTTTAATCAATATTTTTTAATCGTTGACAGATCAGTTTCACGTAATATAATATAAGTATTTGATCAATTAAATTTACTATTGAAGTGTTATTAAATAAAAAACTATTTTCAAGTAGTAAATTTTTTATGATATCATTAATATTAGAAATAAAAAGGTATTCAAGTAATATTTGCAATTAAAACACCAACACCAAAATATATATATTTTACAGCTACTTTTTGTTTAGGGACCTTATAAGGAATCCTACAGCGTTTCCAATCCATCAATTTTCATAGCAGAAATAATAAGCCTGAAAATAATTTAGCTTCGATAAGCAGCTAAGAAGGTATTGTTGTTACAATGTGTTTTTATTTTTGTACCTGAACGCACGGTATCTCTTAAACCTCTGAGCTGATTTTCCATATAGCAAATCCATAGACAATAATAACAAAACCAAAAAAGGGGGAAATTTAACGTTTTAAATTTACAGGTTAGGTTTCAGAATTAGTTTTTATTATAATGGTGACCACTAAATGCGGGTAAAATAACCGTAACAAATTACAATTAATAGATCAACCCTAATTGCATCCACCCTAATGCAAAAAATTTAAGCATATAATTATAAAGGCAATAAAATATACATTTGTCATTGTCAATTACTAAAAAAAAAAGTTTACCGCAATTCTGTTTTGGATAAGAGACACATAACAAATGGGGATGAACGCGTTAAACATAAAATAGATTTTAAAGCATCTGTACTTTCATAAATTGCGTTAACTTGCTTTATTAGCAGAACTTCAAACTTTGCCGTCAGACGATTTTCCAAATGACATGCCAAGAAGCAACATTTTCTACGTGCCTTCCTTTAACATTAGACTTAACCGTCTGACTGGGATTCGTGCGATACCCTTTCCAGGTCGAGTTCAATAGAAATTAAATTTTAAATAGTTTTTCGTTGTTAACCCAAAACTATTTCAATATAACCAACGCCCTGAGTCAGCCAAATTGTAACAGAAACCCGATTTGTTTGTCGAGTAATTTAAATATAAGCTCTGATGTGAACTTAGAGTAACACACTACTTTGCAAATGCTATATTATAATATAATAATAAAAAGAACATCATTTTAAAGAAAATAACACATTTGTCCGGCTTATTTAATTATAATAGTACAGATAACCTACATATTGTGAGTACCGAAAATCTATCTATTCAGTTATATAAAAAAAGTTTCCTTTTTTATATTGAAATTATTGTATAATTTTATTCAAAAACCAATTAAATAGTTGTACTTACAAACAAACTGATTTTTGAAATAATATGTGAAATTTTGAAATTGAAAAGTTTATTCTGGAAATACATATGTACCTAATAATATTATGTTGTAAACTAATTAGTATTGCCAAAAGGAAATTATGCAATAACTAAGTAATTGAATTATGTACCAAGTACTTAAATTATGTTTGTGATTTCGTTGTTATAACGGTTAATTTTTTAGTTTCAGATTATGCGAAGACGAAGAAGATAATTTGAGAGACAATTAATGTACAAGGATTTTGATGAATACCGTAACTACAGGGTATGTATATAGCTTTTGTAGAAAAAGCTGAAAAAAAAAAACCCCATAAAAACATAGATGGAAAATAATTATTAAAGTAGATAAAGGTTTTTCTCAAATGATTTAATAAAAAAAAAAAAAAAAATGTTATACTAAGAAGAATTGAATAGACCAGCGACTGATCAAAAACAAAAATAAATTGTTAAGTGACATTGAATTTATTGTCGTCAAAATATGTTTAGAAAGTTATTTGGTGAGTAAAAATACAGTTATTACAATAAATCTATTTGGGTTACAAAACAGTAGCATTGTTTGTTTTCACGAAGTAAATCGTCGGCGCTAAATAATTTCATTCCGCATACTTAAGTTCAACAGGAAGATAATAATATAAGAACTAAAATATTATTATGCATGCGGATCATGTCGATTCACGAGAAAACTACACTTTCTGGTATTGTTGACCGACAACATACTGTAAACGAATTGTCACGGTACCTACTTGGCATTCCCCTTTAAGCGACAAACTGTTTTAAGATTATAACACTTATAATACATAAGTATGATGTCTACCAATCATCAGCTCTTAGACGCAATATTTACTCTATTAAATTACAAATACCTACATACATTTGAAATACTGTTGATGTTGCCAGCTGATGTCTTAAGGCGTTTTTTGTTGCACTACCGTCGAAAATTACCGACATATTTGTTGTATAGTTCATTTTCAACTTGTTTTCGCATTTGTGAATAGGAACCTATTTTTTGAGTATTCTACAAAATTAAGTTAGCGCTATTTTCTGAATGCTGACTTATTTTTTAACAACTTTACACCTGGTACGCCTTAGTAGGTAAACTGAAAATCCCTAAGTTATTGTATTTTGAAGTTAGCCAACAGGAATAGGTAGTTTGCGAATGTTTTGGCGCTTTTCTGGAAATCAAATTTGCTAGCAAAAAGACCATTTTCGCTTTCCCCATCAGATTTATACCATTTTGGTATAAAACTCAACTGAACATTTAGTCATTCAGACTACAACTGACTCGTTAATGTTATAATAACTGTTTATTTTTTATGAATATTATCAAAACAAAATAATATTCATTATGAAGTGTGAAATATTAGTTATTACGCATTTTTCATTATAACACGTGCAGAAAAACTTATCGTATCATTGCTAGTATACTTATTATTACTTCTAGTTTTTTTAAATTTATTCTCAATAAGTGCGGTAATGACTGAAAATAAACAATGCTTATACTTAGGGTCATTCCACGTGAAATCACCTAATTGGTGTGCTACTATACTTCAAAAATGTTTGAAATTTTTATCATACATTCTTTATAGGTCCTTAATAACAAAAAAATTTTAAGCAATTTTTTTAGACCAAGGTAGGTCAATTTTTAAAAAAAATTATCCAAAAACACCTCATGTTCCCGACTCTGTAATTTAACCGCCGATAGTGGTATAGACATGAAACCTGCACAGTTAAAATTCTAATTTATGAAACACTTAAATTTATGCAATACTTACATATAAGTAGAACATCTGGTAAAAGTTTGGTAATGGAGAAATTATTCTAACATCAGTGGTAAGCGTTCAAATTTTACAATTTATACTTTTTGGAAATATACACAATTTACATTTACATTTTGAACCTTAGAAAAAAAATTTCTAGTGTAAAAAAAAAAATTAAAATTTTTCTTAAAATATGGTTAAAGTACACTTAATTAGAATTTTAACTGTGGAGGTTTCATGTCTATACCACTATCGGCGGTTAAATTACAGAGTCGTGAACATGAGGTGTTTTTGGATAATTTTTTTTAAAAATTGACCTACCTAGGTCCAACATTTTTTTGTTATTAGGGACCTATAAAGAATGACCTATAATGTATGATAAACATTTCAAACATTTTTGAATTATAGTCGCACACCCATTAGGTGATTTCACGTGAAATGACCCCCACAATTATGTAGCAGTAGATAATTAGAGCGACAACCTTTTCGTTTACTGTACACCTAATTTTAAAATCCAGTCAGGTTTCAATAGTCAAGATAAAGTAATACCTCACAAATATTAGCTAATAATATGTTAATATTTATAAGACGCTGAATATCAGTAAGTATAATATATTAGAAAGTGTAGAATATTAAGAAGTGTAGTATATATTGTACTAAAAGTATCAAGTAACAGGTCACGACCGGTATCGTCTCCGTCGGTTCCAACTAAACTATTTTTACTGCATACGAAAATGTTTAACAATAGGGAACGGGATCTCTAAAATATTCTAAATGGTCCCATTGAAAAACAGACAAATCAAATGACACAGATTTGTTGTTACCAGAAACACAAACAAAATACAAATAATAATATCTAATACATTTTATTACATACTAGATTATAAACTTTATTTTTTTATATTAATCTATAAAACTAAGTTATATACTGTGCTATTATTTTAGGCCAAAACGACATTATTGAAATTTATTACAACTTTTTTAGTGAGCATTTCTGAACAATATTTATTCCCTATTTTCAATTTAAATATCCACTCTAAACATTTTTTATTCTTTCTAAGCTAATAACACTCGATTACAATTCAGAAACATCCCTTGGCTACCAATTGAACAGCTAATGATCTAACCACTTAGCCAGCTAGCGTCTTCCCAGCTAAAAATATTCAATGATCCTCTTTTTTTTTTGCATATAAAATATCTATATCTAGGACGCGTGTAAGTTATTTTTAATTATTTTCCCAGATCAACGTAATAATATGGTTGAAAGACCGCAACACAACCGTAATGTTTCTTTTGGTAATTGCAAATTGTATTCACATAAAAGGTGCTACCGCATTCATACGTCACGGTGTGTTTAACGTGGTAAAGAACATTCAACCGAGGAATGTACAAAACCTAAATCAACTTCCGCATCTTGGTACGAAAATACACTATAATATGGATATGTCACGCTGAAAACGATAAAAGATCTCTAGTCCACGAACAAAGGCGACCAGATAAAATTTTAATTAATCTTACTAGTGTAATCTGACTTTAGCTGAGTACTCCGATAAAAAAAATCGTACAACGTTTCTTTTTTAATGGCTTCACTAATAAATTTGCATACAAATGATCTCATACATTAAATCGTATTCATATAATTTGCACTTAACTTGATTTTATTTTGATTTGTTTATAGAAAATAAAGTATCTTTGTTTAGTTTTATTATATACATATTAAATTAAAAACATTTCAAAAGTATTTATATTTATATAAAATCATATATTTTATGTTTACCCCACTCTTTTTCAACAGGTAACCCTAACTTGGTTCACATAAAACATAGCAAATGTATTAATTTTATTATATTATGCAGAATCGCAATCGTCCAAATATACAATAATAGCCACCGAGTTATAAACGCATTTTTACTTCTTTCCTCTCGAATATTATTACTTAATAAGTATTGTTTGTAGTTAATTAAAAAATTAATACAACTATTTTAAGATAGTAAATTATTTAAATAAATACAACTGGAATCGCATAAATTACATTAAGACCGTATGGATTTTATTATTATAAAAGGTTTAATTTAATAAGCAACCTGGTATATTATTCAATCTACGTTAGTAAATAACGGGCTAATACTTTTTCTTTTAAAAAAGTATGCAAATTGATCCTGAAAACCATTGTAAGTTCCACTCACGTTCTTAATAATTCAAGTAGCTAGTAGTGTATTGTGATATCTCCGATGATCCATACGTACCAGCTCATTACAGAGTATAATGATATACAAAATACATTAGCGTTGCTTAGAGCACAATATCATTATTATGACAGTGCATTGGCCGACAGACACCCGTATCGGTGACGTCACAGCGACGTTTGACATGTTCGATTGGAAACTAACGGCGTTTCCATTTGCATTGTGCATGACGTACCTACAAAATACAAATGATATTGTATGAAAAAAAAAAACAAAAAAATATATAATACTAATAATACTACCGACGAAATAATAATATAATAACACCTAAGTATCACGGTGTCGTTGTTCGTGTTGTCGGCCACGAACACACCTATCGCGTAACATGAACACAGTGTATAAATAAATAATAACATAATAGAGTAGGCATTTTCTAGTCTGCTCTAAGATTCACGCTTATCTCACCACCGGAAGTAGTCTTCCTGTAAATAATTCTAATGCCAAACACACAATCAAAAACGACTGAAAAATGCAAAATGCGAAACTTGTTTTGATTTACAATAATTATAATATTGGTATATTTTAAAACCTTTGTAAATTTAATTTTATCCCTTCCCTCCGTCACCAGACGCAAACCCATTCAACGCCAATTCTTTATTATATGATCAAATATATGCACCCCCAATTAAAGCAATGTAATTGCTGAAAATGTAAACAAACCAAAACCACCCTCAACTCAGAGTAACCAATGGTAAAAAAAATACTTTATGGGAAATCACATTTCTAAAATTGAGCATCACTGAATTTATAGATTGTTATCACCACAGGTATAAATAAAAATCTAGATTACATTCGGTCATAGATTTTCAACTGATAACAAGTCAGTGGCGTATTTACGGGGGGCGGATCAAGGGGATCACCCCCCCCCCCTCATGGGATGTATATAATATGCAAAAAATTATAGCCATCATGTTTAAAATATTATTTTTTTTTTTGTGGATTGATTATTGATTACATTAATTGCAAGAATTAAAATATTGTATGTATATTCAAATTGGTATCTCAGTGATCACACCGCGACCGCAGTGATTGCGGGTTGAGTGTTCTCCTGGAATGATAATACGGCGGTATACAGGTCTATGCACCATATTTTCGACGTTAATCAGTATCAATGACGGACATGTTATCACAATTCATAAGCGTCTTATCATTATCTAGTTATTGATCTAGATTCTAGTTTCCAGGTTTTGAATGCTTATTCATTCAAGATTTTCTGACGAAGACAGGGAGGAATTCAATCACTTGGTTGATTTATATTCTCCCACAATTGATAAAACCAATATTAATTCTGAACTCAAAATGTGGAAATTGAAATTGACCACTAGTGATTTACTAATTAAAAATGGCTTAGAAGCTCTAAACAATTGCGATGATGAAATATATCCCAATATCATTTTTTTATTAAAAATATTTGTGACTTTGCCTGTTTCAACTGCAACTTCAGAGAGAAGTTTCTCCAGTTTAAAACGGCTTAAAACGTACCTGCGTAATACAATGCGCGAAAATGGGCAAACTTAAACTGAATAGACTATAGCAACAAAATCAAGAAAATTAGATTTTGTATTGTAATAGCCTGTTACAATAAAACATTTAATCTCGAGTAATGCGTTATATACTATAATTTTGGCATCATAGATTGTATATATAATGTTAATAAGTTATTATATTTCATGGAAACTCTGGGGGTGAGGGGGCGAAGCCCCCCTCGAGTCTGCGACCACTTGATAAATTCATATCCCCCCCAAAACAAAAACCTAAATACGCCACTGTAACAAGTTACCACTTTGGTTATGGCGATTAATGCCAAACTGGGATCTACATAATAATTTTAAAAAGGGTAAAAATTCATGGAAAGGTCAAAAATGATTTTATTATTACACATATATATTTAAACTATTTTGAATGCTGTGGTCGAATTTTCGACTATTCTGTGACCACACTTAATTGAGGAGTCTTTCATTTATCAGTAAACGACGAAGTTCACCATCTGGTTTTATCTAATATGTGATACTATTTCAACTTTAACACATTTTCAAAATATTTTTTGTATGAATATTATGAAATACTTAGTACGGCTGCAGTGCACGTGCACAAATATTTGAACAAGTATTTACAGTAGGAAATCGGATTTAATTTTAAGCGCTATTAATTATAATTATTCATGAGCTTATTTTAATAAACTTATTATAATTTATACCCAACCAACAGTCCAATTATATATTACTGTACATAATAGTTTGTGATACCAACCGTTTCCTATATTACATGATTAGGTAAACTTCGAGCTCCGTCAAATTGGTTCACAGTTATACTTGTATTAATATCTTTTATCCCAAACCACTGAAACAATTTCTTTATGAAGCAAGTCTATAGATCGGAAATCGTATCTATAAGGTACTTTAATAAATACAATTTAAAGCACATTATTGTCTTTGGAATGATTTTTTTTTATTTCAGTTACACTCCTGTAGTTCCATGACTACACTGACATCACCTATCAAATCTCCCCGCTGTATTTGCTTAAAAAAAAAAATAATTTCAAGTAAAAAGCTGTACAAGATTTCGTTATCAATGGGCACTCTACGTTTTCTGACATTTAATTAGTTTCTCTAAGATTTTTTTTGGCTTATGAATGTTATTAAGAACTATGCGGATGTTTATATGACTGTCGATAATGTTATAAACTATTATGCAATCCCACGAGTGACTGATCTTATGAAAAGATTTTAATATATCAAGAGTCATTACAAAAATGGCAATTATTATGTGATGAGGCGATCATGCGCTTAAGTATAATTTTAAAATATATTCATGTATGTGCGAAGTTGAAGCTAAAATTAATAGCTTCGTGAACAATTAATATACTTATAATTAATTGCTTAAAACTTTTTTTTTTAACTTCCGATTTACCACGGACTCAAAAGTAATTTTACATTAAAAAAATTAATTCAATAGCAATGTATATATTATATTAGATAAATGGAATACAATTTTACATTTCCAAGGTCCTATACCGATAGGGGTTGAAATAAAAATATTTAACAACATATATTATTTGGATTTGATTGTGTCCTTGTAATGTGTAAGGCAATAAAACTAAGCTACACGTGCCATCTCGACGGCTTCAAACTGTCAATGGTTCTCTTGTTTGGCTTAATGATTATTACACTGAACAGTAATTAGATTGTTCGTTCCAATCGAATATAAATTGACAATAAAAAGTATAGTCAGACATCTTATTATACAGTAAATCGAATATTCTTCAAAATATCTCAAACCCAAAATAATACTTACCTATATAAATAGATAGATAGATAGTTCAGTATACATTAGCATAATGATAACAAAGTCCCAAAAAAGAATGATGGTCAATGATGGTCAAACATAAAATAAAACAACGCTATTAATAGTTAACATAATTCGATTAATGTATTATTTTTATTTTATTTTTTTTTAGATATTTTTCTGAATGACGCTCTGCAAGGACCAGGTTCATCTCTGGATAGTAAGTGAACAATTTTTGTTAAACATATTATATTTATTTCAATTATATCAAGTACGTTAGATATATTATTATAATAGTAGGTATACTCTACATAACCTAATTTCTCGAAAAAATGAATATTAACTCAAAATTAAATGCGATTAACAAAAATAATTAGGTACGCACAAGTATAGTTTAATGACAGCCATGCGTTTATATATATAAGTGATATACCTCATATCATATTTTATTTCCTTATATCAACAGTACTCTATTCAAGTATATCAATCTTTGTGAGCTAAGCAATATAATCGCGATACGCATCGCAAAAAAATATACTTAAAATGAAAAATGTACTTAAAAAAGATATGCTGTAGGCTATTAATTTGTTTAATCTAAAATGTTTATAATATAAATAAAAAATAAAAACGCAAAATGATTCATACTACGGTTTACTTTTCCATCAGATTCCCTTTAAACTGATATTGTATACCCAGATACCCTTGTTTTGCTATATTATAATATTTCCCCTTTTGAAGTAAAACAATCTGGTGAAATCGATTTATCGAGAGTTTATGTTTGTGTCGGTTACATAATAGTATGTTTACAATAAATTAATATGCAACATAATTTGTGTTTACAATCTGTAATATTATCAATATTTTCATATAATATTGATCTTTTGGCTTTTAAAATAAAGTTTTACATCAAAACTCCCATCTTGCATTAGTTTAAACATTTATAATTTATTTTTTATCCTACGTTTATTTATGTTATATAATATTTGATAATGGACAAACAAAAATAAAAAAAAGCTTATGTAATGCAATGTAATACTTCAATAGAATAGTGAAAAATATTATAAATTCCGCATGAGAGTAAAAATTTGATCAACCGTTATAATACAATTTCTTAAGTTATTACAGTATCTGTCAAGAACACTCTTTAAAATATAAATAATATAATTTTTCCCACCCTGTTTTTTTTGTTTATAAATCTACCTTCTATCGGTCACGCGTGGTAAACATTTTCTAAAACGTATATATTTTTTTCTTACAGATCTTTATATTTATTTATAACTAAAAAAAGTATATTTATCTATTTTTAATACAAAGTTTTACTTCTTTTGGATTTTGATAAGAAAAAAAAACTATAATAGTTTTATCGAATAATGTTATCTTAGAAAAAAACAAAATCATGTTCAAAACCAAATTAAAGTAGGTACTTTATTTATATTTGCCTGTTTAATAGCATTTCTTCAAAAGAGCTTGGACAGACTTCTAAATTTTAAAATTAGTTATATTTGAAACTAATCGAACATTTTAAAACAAAATAAAACTAATATTACAACTATATAAATTACATAATAAAAATTTTGATAAAAATCATAACAATATATCATATCAGGATTAATTAACAGTCATTAAACTAAAAAAGATGTGACTTTTATACTTGTAAAAATGTACACAATAATTACTAATGTTTAAATTTAGAGCTTAATTGGCCAAATACTGTTCTTATTTTAGGTAAAATAACATTTAGAATTGATCAAATAATACTATTCTTGGATTGGTGACAATCTGAAATGTTTAATAACAGCCGTATGAAATCTAATTTAGTACTTCATTATTATTACTTTTGCGGCCTAACCTGGTTAAATTTCTTACGCATTCGTGTATTGTTTTTGCATACCGTAATAGCCGTAAAACGCGTGGATGTATAATATACAATTTTAGTCCATTCTCGCAGAGTTGTATAATAAAGAAAACAAATATCTTAATCATAGTAAATCGCTTTATTACGACACCATAATAAGAACGTTTGATTGTATTATTTTGGTTTATTGTTGATTGGAGATGACTATAAATAATATGTCCTAGTGCTTTAGGTCAGCATTGTTTATAATATGGACGGTCGTGGTCGCGCGCTGCGCCGGCCTAACTCATGGCCGTCGGCTGGCAGTGTTTTTTGTCACTGATAGATAATATAGTTGACAGACATTTTTTTTATTAAACAATGATGTATTATTAAAAAATTGTTAAAAATATTTTTAAAAAATGTTTTTTAAATGTTCAATTTTGTTTTATATATATTATGTGTTTCACAGTAGGACATAAACTAAGTTTCAAGTTTGCAAACCCATAATAGTCACCAAAATCTACGTTATAGTTTTTGTTACTTTTAGGGTTTTTTTCATAAAAAAAAATTCTGACTAGGTACAGTTTTTTTTTACACATATTCAATTGTAGATTTCGGGCTAATTTTCAGCTCTTAAGCTGCGCCAAAATAATTTTTAAAAAAAATCTTATCTCTTCCAAGGGGGCGAGGGTGGTTGGGTTTGAGGCAATTTGTCGATAGAAGCATGCCTAATGAATAATCTGTACAAATTTCGACTTATACCGATTCGTTATTCGCTAAGTTATAGCATATCAATACTGAAGGTGGAAAAAAAAGTCAATTTTTTCTAGTTTTTAGGGGTAATTGAATTACTTTTTCAACCCACCAAAGTACCAACCACGTACGATTTCGGATCTATAAGCTATGCTATACGAGTGTTTCGGTCTACAGTAAAAAAGTTCAGGTGTCTTCAGACACAAACAAAATTATTATTATACCTATACCATAAACGCTACCACATCGAAGATAATAATATATATTATTCTCTCTATCTAACGTCCGTAAGATTCCCACCAAGTATTTAAAATGAACACAGCATAAATAACATACCCATAAATATAATATATGCAAATTCATTATGATATTATTCGTTTTTGTGAAAGTCTTAATGTTTATTTATAATTTATGTGAGTTCGTTGCAAATACGGATTTCATAAAAGCAATCTCATCATTTTTAGCATTTACTACTGGTTCCATATATTTATATGGAATAGTTTTGTGTACTGTAATTGGACGCTAATTTATATTTATTTATACATTCAAAATAATTGAACATACACAAAAACGACATTAATAGATTTTAATTATAGAAATATTGTTTACATAACTTGTAAATCATATCATATTGTCATATGGTTATGCGAACTTGGCTCTCCGTTTTGAAAGTCTATTGTATCTTCCTTGTCAGTTTATAATGCAACCATTGAACCAAAAGTATCTTCTCTCCGCATTAAAGGTGAAAAATATATTTTTGATTTTGTTTTGGCATTAGCTATTAGTTTATGATTCGTTGTTATTATTACGTGTATACCTTATATTATTTTTTCATACTAATGAACAAAATGGTGGGGTAGCCCATTAAAAATCTTCTTCTATGACTAAAGACCACCCTAATATACACGATGTAAGATTGTTAATTTAATCATACTTTAATTTTACAGCGGAAGTGCTTTTTAGTTATGGCTTTTGTTTTAACAAATGGGGGCCATTTTATTTTGCCTACGCATTTATTATGATCTATAAGCTTATCAGAAATACAGAGACCCTTATAATGTATGTGTTTTCATCCCGGCTTTCGATTTGTTCACACAACGTAGCATATATTTAACGATAAAAATGCTAATGTTTTAGATTGATCGTTGATAAACGGCACTCGTTAGGGTCTCAACAATTGTATAATAATAGAATATTTCAAACAATACATTTTGTTGAGAGGTAGTATTGTAAATATTCGAATCATTTATATATCTGCACGTCAAAAACCATTTGTTTAATATTCAAATGACAAACACAATGAAAAATGTTTTTCCCTTTCTGTTTAAAAATATGTAGGATATTCAGAATTATGCTGAAGCCCACGAAGTATCAAAAACAAAATACTAGTTAAATTAAACCGATTTTTTTTTTTACTATAGATTTATAGTAGTGTATACATTTTGATAAAATGTTTAAAAAAAAACCTGTTTATACTTTTTTAATGTATGCCTAACTGATGTTATACAAGAGTCATTCAACGCCAAGTGTTCCCACCTAAAAATGTCGTGGTCTTTGATTCACAATTGAGAATGTACTAGGATAGTATAATAATTTTACCAAGTTAAATCAGGATCGAAGACCACAATATTTTTCGGCGGAAACACTTGGTGTGGAATGCCTTATATATATGTACATCCAAAGAATTAATTCTCATATTTTAATTTTCAATTCAATATTTTTAAACAAATAAAAACTAACAAATTGTTTAAACATATAAAAGGTGCTGTAATAAAATATTTTATTGCTCACAACAAAATAAACATTTGCTATGAACGATATTAATTGTGTGATTTGTATCGTCTTTACAATTTGCGGATAGTATCACTTGAGAAGTTTGACTTCTCTGCCAACGTTACGGAACACTTGCACGTTCCATCTTAGGGGCTAGGGCTACTTTTGTATCGTCTTATTTCGAAAAAAAAGAGACAGAACTTTCTCATTCCGACGGGTCATTAAAACATTATCAAACGATAATGGTAGAACGCCTAGAGTTTAAAATACATTACAATAAGGTCGTTTACAAGAACGAGTTGTTATAATATTGAATTTGGTGATACTAAGTACTAGTAGTTTGATAATTCTCTACGGTTTTCAAGTGTTCCGTTCAGCAGCCGACTTGCTGATGCGTTTAACGCAAAGCTATAACCGATTTGGGTTTGGTATGCGTGCTAGTTTGTAACAAAGATCACCCTTGAACAATTAAAACTTTAAAATAAAACCAATAAAATAAAATAATTTTGAAAATCGATTAACGATTATTCATCTATAGTAGCGTTAGCGGTCACTTACAACGGGACGTCTAATGCATTTCACGTGTTTAACAGTATCAGCATGTGGAACGTATATATATATATATATATATGTATACATACATGTTATACCCGAGTACATCTAAGTATTATTTTGTTGCCCGCAGGAGGTATGGTCGCAGGACATGTGGCTTTGTGCGTGACGACGCTGGTGACGTTGGCGAGGTCCGGCGCCGCGGGCATTCTCGAATGGGGACGATCCAACCACATAGAGGTCAACATACCCTGGCTACCATGTAAGTACGAATGTAATACAATTACTTGTTAATACAATTTATACAACATCGTACTTGTACACACACACACACACAAAAGTGATACAAATAAGTAGGCTCTCCGTTTGAATACAAAACTTTACAAATGACAATATTAGTGCGCTCACGGACATTGCAACTCGTACTTGCGATAGTTACTTAACTGTGCCCCTGTATAAAATATTGATATTTTGACCAAATCGAATGAACATTTTAATAATATGGCGCATGTGTTTCAAAAGTGACAAATGTCAAACGATGAATGAGGTATCCAAATGACGTATGAGAAAAACGCAAAAGTATTGCCTATCGACGAGCATTGACATAGCTAATAATTTTTCCAGATTATTCTATTGGCGTCTATATGTTATTCTGTACAGCGAAAACAGCAGGCCTAGTAGTAAATGAAGAAAAAACCAATGTAATGGAGTTACTGGAAAATGACCATAAGGTATTTGCACAACGATTAAAATGGTTCGGACACGCTATGAGAAGGGATGAAACAAAGGCTGTAAGGGAAGTTAGAGATTATCGACCAAGTGCGAAAGACCGAGAGGTAAACCAAGAAAGCGATGGTCCGACGGAGTAAGCCAAGACTTAAAGTCGCTGAACGTAAAAGATTGGAGGGAAACTGTTCAGGATAGGGAAAGATGGAAGGCTATGAAGGTGACGGCGAAGACTATAAAGCTAAGAAAAATAAAAAGATTCTATGGGTGTCAGAAAAATATTATTCGTTAAAATATTATTGCCTTGCCACGGTGATTACTAAAATTTAAACATTTTTTGAATTGTGTCACTTTTGAAACACATGTCCGATATTATGACCAATTTGCAATAGGTAATTATGAATTGTTAATTAAACAACAAAACAATTCTCAGGTATTCCAATGAAAGCAAATTATAATACATCTGTTGACTAATATTAAAATCGTTAATTCAATGATTTAATCGAATTAATAAAATGAAAAACATGTTAATTATACGCTGTTATCGGATATTATTTTTTTATTAAACAAGAACGTGTGTTTATTATTGAAACGAATAGTAGCTGTAGTGAATATTTTATATTTAAGGTCACCATATTTTAGTAATGATAACGAAAAATAAGAGACCGGCATAGCATAGGGAACATGGAGCATAAAAACTTGGCAATTTTTCGCCCAACAAATTGCCAAATTATTAGTTACAGACTGTGTGTATGAAAACATAATTTGTATTTTGTATGATTAAATTTTATGAATTTTAAAAAAACAAAACAAATTTCCATGGTTTCACTTAAAAACAAAAATGTTTCCACACATTTACAATAAAAGTATAATAAGTTTTTTAAAGAAAACGTTTAAACGTGTAAGATTGGGCGCTTAGAAAATATCGCTTATATCGCTATAGTATTAAATAACTATTAAACTGTTTTTTTTGTTTTTTTCTTAAGTCGAAAACGAGACAAGGTGTTATGACGAACTAGGATGTCTGAACATCACTCGAGATTGGTATCATTTGATTTACCGACCTTTCAATGTATTTCCATTGGCCAGACAAGTCATCGACACTCGGTTCATCCTTTATACCAGGAAAAACCCAATACAGGTAAAATTTCACAAGTATTTTTACCCAGAACTCATGAATTCTAAGTACTAACCGATAATTTTATAAACGGTAAATTTAAATAATACAAAATATTTAAATGATTTAAGTTTTGTTAGATATCTAGACGCGGGTCAGAAGTTTACTGAACTCTCGCAAATAGCTAGATAATGTTTATGTTATATAATCGTTTGAATGGGCGGCTTAACAATGATTAGGCATTTCAAAGAAAAGGGCCTAGCTGACTTCTTGTCACGTCTATTATAAAAAACTTTTGTTAATTAAAATACAACATTCTGTAATACATAATTCAATAGATCTGTCTTTAATTCTATGATTCAGTTATTATAGTAAATTATAAATAGTAGACTATTTCTATATGACTATATATTTTTTTACAAAATGTTCTATTTTATGCAAAAAATAAAATTCACGAGGAAGTACTAAGATGAGAGATCTGAAATTTTAAGAATCTCTTAGAGGGTGGAGTTGGGTAAAAAAAAATTGATAGTCTAGTAAACAGCTTAGGTAAATATATAAAAATAATCTTTTTATATCTTTCAAATTGAGAAACTATTGTACATTTTTCAAGTTAACAAGTTTATTGCAAACAAGTTTCAAGTATTAACAAGCTGATCTTTGCATAAACTATCATATGAAAGACAATAAAGATCAATAAAAAGTCAATAAGCAAATTATTAAATAAGTCCTAGATTAAGTATGCATAATTTTATGACTCACTAAATATTTTAACTTGAATAACAATAATTGTCAATATGGCTAACGCCTGTAGACTATACTCTATTAACTAACAGAGCATTGTTTATAAATTATAATTAATACAATGTTGATTTCTGCGCAAAATTAACAAATACAAAAACCTATCATGATTTACCAAGTATGATTGGTAATGAAATAATGTCTGTAGTCTAAACACGAATAGTGTTTGCCATTTATACACTATATTTGTATATAAGAGCTGCTGCAGTCATATTATTTGTGTGGACTTGCATGTAAATGTGTGTGTTGTTAATATTACACAATAATCTATCGCGAAACTATCGAAATTATGTCAACACAATAAAAAAAAAACAGCCAGCACTTGTTGATTGAATTAAACGAAGACGATTTTAAACATCTATTCGCCTTTAAAATACACCAAATATATTTGTAAATTATTTTTAATGTACTTAACAATTTAACATGTTATGACAACAATTATAAATATGAAAAATATATTAACTCGTTTTTCATCTGTTTTAAGTTAAGGCTAAATTTTTTTACTTTTGCAAAAAGTCATTAACGTTTTTTAGTATTGTCGAAAAACCCGAGGAACAGTGAACACAATATACACTGTACTACCATTTTCCATCATAATAAAGTGAACGTGTCAACTGTACAACAATATATCATTATTTTCTTGGTGATAACACTCAAAAGTATATAATATTTGACTTTTAACCGTCGCGCTAACGAGCAAAAAATTAACGCAGAATTCAAATTACAGAGCATGGTCTACCCCGATTGTACTTATGAACAATAACATTTGTTTTTACATTTTAATTTATATATTGTATTCAAGTTGACGTAAGAAATATATATTTTTTTCTTTTTTTTTATTAAAAATGTATATACGATCTGTAGACCTAAAAACAATGAGTAAATTTGTGAACATTTTACAGTGGCAGGATGACGTGAAAGAAGGGAGTGTCCAGTAGCACTACTTCAACTAGAAATATTAATTTAATTACCTATCAAAACTATATGATGTTGTTAGATTTAATAGCAAAACAAAAATAATTGGCCCAAAAGATTAACTCAAAAAAATATGTCATTATAATAGTTCTGTTTGCTTAAACTACTTTGATGTTCATGTTTGTACGTTGAAATTGTATTCTGCACAATTTTTCAATATAAAAATTAAACGTCAAAAGGAGTATTAAAAAACTCAAACATTGATGCATTTATTCGCATAGAAATGTTTGTATTGTGTCAAAGTTCTTGTTTTGTTTTTCAAGTTGTGGAATTAAGTGATTAAAATGTTTATACAATATTTGGTAATCATGTTAAATAAAAATGACACCGGACGAAGAATCTGTTTGTCGTTGATAACACTTTCCCCTGTTTTCTTTTCTTTTGCAGGGTCAGATGCTGAAAGTTCAGGCGGAGAAAACGATACAAAAGTCAAATTTAGACCCGAAAAAACCTACCAAGTTTATCATTCACGGTTTTATTGACACGCCGCTGAGCAATTGGGTCAAGGTGACAACAAATCACGTTAATTTAAAAAAAAAATAACGATTTTTTTCCGCTTAAGATTATTTTGATAATTATTATTATTATTCTAACGAACGGACAAGGTTAAGGAAGTATCTAGGCTTGTGACAGTCATCGTGCATCGTCATCGTATATAAATGTTTTAGACTTTTAAATGAGTAGTAAAAAAAAAAAAAAAGTACTGATTATAAGATACTGCAATATTAAAATCTGAACGTACTCAAAACGCAGAAAAGCAAAATTTTGGGCGGTAAATGGGGGTTTTAATCTTAACGAGCCTTCGATGGGCATGTCTTTGACAGCAACGTCCTTGAGACGAGCCAATCAAAATGCACATGGTGATGTACCGCTGTTTCGTGGTTAAATTAACCAGGTCAACGTGTTGGCTAACCGTTTTCCAAAATAATCACAACCGTAGAAATTCTTTGGTTTCTCGATTAAATCATATTATATTATGTATATTTTTATGGTTTTGCGCAGGAGATGAGAAGAGAACTGCTAAAACATTCCGACTGGAACGTCATAGTGGTAGACTGGGCCGGTGGTTCGCTGCCCCTGTACACTCAAGCGACGGCCAACACCAGGCTGGTGGGACTGGAGATTGCCTATTTCATCAACTATTTAAAAGTAAAATATATAAGTTTAAAAACATACATATTCGGTGGCGCCGAAGCATTGCGCAACGTCCCTAAGAGTACATTTTACTAGTTTGAGTGATCACTATTATTCCTACCTATCTGTATGCAATGGCATATAGGACATGAATTATTATCTGAAGATTACTCGCATGGTGTCGCTACAATATTATGATGGTAGCATGCCGGAGACGTTGTCTTGCACCTAGCAAGTGTCCTAAAAAATATACTGCTATGATGACACGTAGATTGACATAATAATATAAACTAATATTATACATTGTTGTGTGTCGTTTAATTGAGGCAACGTTGGCAAACGCAAAATGTTCAGACGGACGTGTTCAGTGTTTCACCATACACTATTTAGGTCCGATGAAATAACAAAAAAATAGTTGGTTGGTTTTTGCGTTACGAATACAAAACGTTGTTTAATGCCGTTCGATTTGGCTTAAGTCTTATAAATGGGCATTGGGTAAGAAATGCACCCATATTATATATGTTTATCTGGCCGTCTCCATCCGCGGGTTCTTATACCGGTAGCGTTTTGGTCGGGTATTCCGTATGGAATCAAATTAAAACGAGATTAAAAAGAGCAAAAGCCGTTTGCGAACAGCCAATCTTTTTCGTTTACTTTTTCATTTTAAACGGATTTAACCGTAATCGAACTATTCGGATACAAAACGTATTACCCGGACAAGTTGACAAATGATCCGGAAAGTCGACCTAGCAAACTGTCTGAAAAAGAAAAAAACCGATGACCTCGCCAAATATCTATCGCCCAACTCAATTTGTGTGTGTACAACGTTTTTGGCTAATGTGGAATTTATATTATATTATTATACTCGCAAAATGTTACTATATTTTGTTACATGTTGTTAACTACGACTTGACTAACTCTAGTCAAGTATAATAATACACAATATCACAGTCTGACGGTTTTTTCATACTTTCATTTTGATTTTTATTCACCGCGTGTCAGGACAACGTGGGCCTAAATCCGAAACATGTTCATCTGATAGGACACAGTCTGGGAGCGCACACAGCCGGTTATGCTGGTGAACGCGTGGAAGGGCTCGGCCGGATCACAGGGCTCGACCCGGCCGAGCCGTACTTCCAAGGAATGCCCCCTCACGCTAGACTGGACCCTACGGATGCACAATTGGTGGACGTTATCCACACCGATGGATCATCTATATTTCTATTGGGTAAGCATATATTATTACTAAAGAAAAATTGTTGTTCACTTAACGCCCCCCCCCCACACCCCAATCGATAGAGTAGCCTATTCAAATAAAAAAATCCCTAAAATTTCAGATACCGGTAAAACCGGGGAGATTGGGACGTATTTAAGGCATTTCGAATTATGCCGTCTGGCAGAAGTTGGGTACCAAATTACCTCTTATGAGTTTAACATGAAATTTGTAACCATTTAATATGGTTATCCCAAGTATTACCTATCCGAGTATTGTTTGAATAGACTATTATTGATTAAAAGGGTAAAGCCGTAGGAAAAACAAAAAAAATGTGTATATATATATATTATATTTACAAATATAAGTAGTGATTAAAAGTAAACAGCCAATACGAGTCCATTTACAATACAAACAATTAACAATATTTTTAAATAATATAGTAATGGTTTTATTGAAATGTCGTTGATAGGATACGGTATGAGCGAACCGTGTGGCCACATCGACTTTTATCCGAACAACGGCAAAGAACAACCGGGCTGTGACTTGACTGAAACGCCGTTACCTCTGACTCTGATCAAAGAGGGAATCGAAGAAGCCAGCCGTGTGTTGGTAGCGTGTAACCACGTGAGAGCCATCAAGCTATTTACTGAATCCATCAACTCGAATTGCCCGTACATTGCACATAGATGCAATTCATATCAGAACTTCATTCAAGTAATTCTAAACAACGTTTTAAATCAATGACGTACGAGCTATTCAATTGCATAGTTGAATCAATGTAGGCTTATATTCATTATTTTAATTTTGACATTTGTTACTTTGCTTCTCATATGGTATGAGAAAACGTAGGGGCCTACTATGTAATGAAGTTGTACGTTGAATTTCAACCTAACATAAAATAAATAATTTTAAGTAATGTATTATAGGTAAATTTTAATTGTATTCAAACAATCGTTTTTTAAACTACAACTAATCTCGTACGTTTATTTTTTATGTTTAGGGTAAATGTTTTTCATGTAAAGAAAACGAAACGGGATGTGCCATAATGGGGTTGAGCACGGTAAGACCTAATCATACGCCCGGTTCAAAATACTACATATCCACGGGAAAAGACACGCCGTATTGCAGTATGTGAAATATTTAATATGATCACTTGATAATTATTATTATTTCGACAAACTAGTACCCTGTATGACGTTTAAACCAAATTGTCAACTAGTGTTATGTGCCCAATTGCGATAAATATGCCAAATAACTTGTGCTTTTCTATTTCCTTATTCTTTTGTATTTTGGTTATCGTAAACCTGATGTTCTGTTGTGCAGGACGGCAGTATAAAGTCACTTTGGACTTGGCCAAACCCCCAAGAGCCGAATCTTGGGTTCAAGGGTTTATGAAAGTATCGTTACACAGCGACAACGGTGTAATCAGAAATCTAGACTTGACGCCAAAGTAATATACGAAAATTTATCAACAAATAAGACAAAAGAAAAAACAATAAAACCAAACGTTCTTGCCATTTGTGTAGTGGTTACGAGAGAATGGAACACGGGACCAGTAGAAGTTTTGTGGTCACCCATCCGGACGATATAGGTCAAGTAAAGAGGGTGGAGTTCTACTGGGAGTACGACATGGACGTTTTGCAGCCCAGATCTATATGTTTCTTCTGGTGCAACGACCATCTCTATGTGTCCAGCATTGGGGTAACTGAAGCAGAAGGAGACGGCAGCAGAGGGTAAGAAAAGCGTTTCTATTTAAATAATTCAACGAGTCTGTGAACAATTTGTCACCACAGCTATAGCAATATTTTATAGACCATGTTCCATTGAGAAATCTATCTAGAAAATGTACAAGTTCCCAACATATATTTATGGCGGCTGATGTGTAAATGAAAAAACTATAACTGTTGTATAGGTAATGGGTTACTTTTGCACATTACAGTAACGTGACGGAAATCTTTCAAAGAGTTGTTCTACTTTCAATTAAAAAAAAACGATACACCAATTTTGTATGGTAAAAATGTCCAAAAAATGTAGGTATTATTACAAAATATAAAACCGAGAGTAGTGACTTGTCCCGCTATCTAGCCACACTCTAGCAGACCACAAGTGCGTTGCTTTTTCACGTGGCTGCTCTAGTGAAATATTCACCAGATTCCACGTTTTAAAGTAGAATTAATTTCTTTGGGCTAAATAAAATAAATAGTAGACAAAAAATGTAGGTAATGAAATGAAATATATAATATAATAACATGAACCCACCATATCATAAATATCTTAAAATATTAAAGTTTTGGCATATTCTAAAAATATCTTAACGAGTATTTTTAGTATTTGAATCACAGGCGGTATTATATTGTAACCACCGTCAAAATAATTTAAAAAATGAAAAAAAAAAATGACATATGACCTTAAGGGTTATAACTTATAATGATACTAACAAATATCCACCAAATAACTATAGCTTGTTTATTAGATGTAAGTAAGAAGCAGTAGTGTATATTATTTAATAAGTAAAAATAAATTGATGAAAAAATACGGTTCGTGGACCAAAAATCATACACGTTTCCCTTAGTCTTTTTTTGTCCAGAAAAGTAAAAACTACAATTATTTATTTATTTAAAGCCTGGAAAACTTTCCACTTGCAAAAACATTTATACGACCTTTAGAAAATATTAAACGTTGGTCGCAAAAACAAATACTGGATAAAAGTATTTTGTACAACGACTTGAGCTCCGATACAATTATAATGCCAACAGGACAATAGAAACAAAATATTGCGTACTCCCAAAGTTAAAAAACACCGTTTGTTCTCAAAGAAATAATACCCCAAAAGAAAAGGAATTTGAAAAGTAAGAAAAATATATTTGAATTATAAATTTGAAATATAAATTTGTTTAAAGACATTATATTTTGAAATACAATCAAAATTAGTGAAAACTTTGTAAATATTAAAACAATGGTTTACAGTATATCAGTAGAAAAAACAGACATAATGTAACGGTAAAATTTGGGGCTGAACAGAATTTATTACTTCATCTGGTCAACCTTGTCTGGTATACCACAGATTTAAAAATACCTAATAAAACAAATTTAAATAAAATGCGTTAGTTTAATTTAGAAATCTACAGATTAAAAAAAAAATCTTAAAATGTAAATAGCAATCACTACAGTGGCGATAATTTTTTTTTACACACAGTCAATCTATAAGTATGAAAAATATATTAAACACAAATTTGTATTGTATGTACATTGTGCAACGAAGCTTAAGTCTGACTTTTAGAACTAAAAGGCTTGTAAATTCTTAAGATATTCTCATACAAGTTTAAAATGAAATTCCTGATTTTCAAGGGTAGTTTGATAGAAATATAAAGAATCTGAAGAATTGTATTTCCCCGACTAGCTAACTTGAACTCGTTATGACTATTTTTTGTAAAGATATCTCACGCTATATTTTAAATTTCAGTATAGTCTGTCACTATAAAGAGAATGGTTAATTTTTATCAAGTATAAAACCAATACCTTCTCAATGCTGAACCTTGAGCTAAATAGTTAATTAGTATCGCTTGGTTTTATTTTTGAACTTTTTAATATATTTACAATAAATGATTTAATTTTCTGGTATAAGGTTAAAACTAATTGCATATGTAGTTGTAGTAAAGTAAAGTTCTTTTGTGAGTGGATCATAGTAGTTATTAGCCAGCAATGAAAACGCTGTTAGCATTATGACGTTTAACACAGATTATTATTATATAATGCTCATAATTTGTATACTTTGTTTCTTATTCTAGTAAACGAGGCATTGAGGAGAACAGCAAACTGTGCAGCTTGGGTCTCAGGGAATATGCGGATATCGCTTCCAGGACCTCGGCAGTGTTCATCGACGAATGCGACGACGATGGTCTATTAAGCTAAGCTAAACATTATATTAATGAGCCATTCGAAGGGTGTCCTCTGGGAATGTGTAACAATAATAATTATTGTCTGGCAAAATATGTGTCAAGTCAAATGTGGTACCAGACTATTTATATTGTATCCCCTGGTATCCGACTAGTAGCTAACAAGAAAGTTTAATATCAAAACATAATATAAACAATATTGTTTTCTTAAAGACCGGATTAATATTATTATACATTATTATGTAACATTATGTTGCATTGTAATATTATGTAAATGCTATTGTATATATTTTTATTATAAATTTCGCATTGTTTTAATATAATTTGTTATTATGATAAAATCATCAACAATGTGTTCATTTTTGGATAATTGTCACGTAGTCGTTGTTTACAATATTCTACGAGAAGTACTTAATAAAAAGTAGTATTTATCAGCTAGTGTTCATTTAAGTAATTAATTTGAAATCAATTATTAAAATTAAATTTAGTAATTAGTTGACATTCGATTTGTTTTGAAATATGTTTGAGACTTCTCGTAATTTTGTGACTCGATCCCTAACCAAAATTTACTTGTACAAAATTGTATATTGTGTAAATAATAAAACATTTAAATTTCTACAAACAAAAACTTGTTTTGACAAAACGAAAAACATGTTTATTAATAATGTATAATACCTTTTTATACTATAGTAATAATACTTTGGTCATATGCAGGTAATTTGAGTTGTCATCGAATATTGTAATTTAGTTTCTATTTAGTAAGATAAATCTCAACAAATTTTTATTGACAACTGCCTATATCGATTACACATTTAGGTAAGTTTTGACACAGCGAACCCAGTACACTTGCCTAAATCAGTTTAATTAGTATATTGCTATTGATTGATTAGTAAACTAATAATACAAAAATAGTACCTATTATAATAGTAATCGCTTCGGATAACTTAAACTATGATAAAGCAACATGTTTACAATGTCTGGAAAAGCTTTTTCGATCCAATATTTGTTTAGTTATCAAGTGCCTTAATTATAATGACTGTGTACAATAGTTATTTGTAGCTCATAATACAATATCCGTGAGTAACCACCATTAATCCGTAGTTTACTATTACAGAGGCTATTACAATTAAATAACTTTAATCATTTACAGCGCATCTATGTTTCACAAGTGTCAATTTTTAAGATATGTATACTTTAAGATGACGCCATACATATCACTTTTTAAGAATGTATTCTTTTTTATTTTTGTATCTGGGCTCCCGATATACTCCCGCTTCCAAACGATTTCTTCATGTAGTAACTTTATACATGAGAAATCTAACCTAATAGGTACTTTATTGTCCCAAAACTTTTTAAAAAGATCACCCTTTCCCCTAGAACGGGTGGAAATTTTTTTATTTATTTCAAATTATCGAGAACTTTAAGTTTAAAAATAAGCCCGAAGGTAAAAATATAATGAATAATATACAAAATTTTCAAAAATCTGTAGTATTTTTATTAGGGAAAAACAAAAAAAAAAACAAAAACTACACTTTGACCGTAGAAAATTGTTTGATTATTATAATGGAATTGAATCATTGATCAACCCTAATCGTATCCGCCCGAATACTCATAATGCAATTTTAAGCACGTTATAGCTTTTACAATGCTGTTGTCGGTTTTTGTATTTCTACCACTTACAGATTCCCATCGAAGCGTTTTTTTTTTAAATTGATTTTATCACTTTCGGTTATAATGATTTTTGTGGACCTCGCTGTACTGTCTTTATTTTTATAGGGTTCACAACTTCCATTATTCATGTTTTACTCTAAATAGAACTTCTCGTTTTCCAATGCAACTTATAATATACGTTAGAAATTATAGCTTATATTATGTAACACAAAAAAGTCTAAAAATAAGTTGAATAAGCTATACATTCACGGATTTATGAATTCATAAATCAAAAATCTTCCAAGTTTGAAATTTCAGAAGCGCTAGAATGGTATATTGATATTGAACTAGTATGTTATCAATTAACTTTGTATGGTTAAAAAACAAAGTGCGTTGGTGAATAGCTAGTAAGCTTTTAATGTGTATGTAAGTACACAGGGTTATGTAAGGGTTTACTTAAGAAAAACTGAACAACACTGTCGCTTCAAAATATAACCTATTTATGGCGGTATAGGTAATAAAGTTCATTAGGAACTCATAAACATCCAGGTTAGGTGTAGTGTCACGAGACGCTCACGCAGATTTGATAGTCTAACAAATTACAATTTCCGTTTAATCTCACTACAATACAGGGCGATCCATCTGATGCAAGTCATTCGTTTTTTCGGAAAATATTAATATTATTTTTTGTCTTAAACTTGTAGGTAGGTATATATTATACTATATTTTTGCAATACTTAAAACAAATTTTTAATTTTTAACTTTATCCCTTATAGATAATAGAAGTATGGACTTCGTTTTTTCAAACATATGTTTTTAATTCTATAAATATGTAGACAACAGATTTAAAAAAAAATTAACTGTTTAAATTATTAAATTTCATCAATCTGTTGGTTTGCTAAAACATTGCAAATATATTACATTTTTTCTATAATTGTCATAAATGTCTTCGGGTTTCCAAAACCCAATAGCCCATAAAATTCACATTTATATCGAAAACACCGCTTACCAAGCGGTTCTTATCTATCTATTCAAAACACTGTGTCAATGATAGTGTTATCAACTGGGGTCAATATTATTTTTCAATGGGAAATTGAACTGTGCTACTGTTGTTATTACCGAACGAATATTAATCATAAATTCAGATCTTTACAATGGCATAGCAAATGAACAGATTGATAAAAATTCAAAAACATTTGTATGCATATTTTTGTCTACATATTTATGGAATTAAAAACCCATGTTTCCATTTATAAAAAACCAAATCTTTTCTTCTCTTACGTATAAGGGTTAAAAGTTAATTTTTTCTAAGTATTGAAAAATATAGTGAAGTATGTACCTACAAGTATAGGACGAAAAATAATTTTCAAGTGTTTTCCGAGAAAACTAGTGTCTTTTATCGGATGGATCACTCTGTATTTTGCGGTAGAGCAAAAAGAAAAGGTGTTATAAATCGACCGTAGTTAAATGGGAGAGGGTTTTCAAACGTTTTATGATAAAATGGCCGCTTAGGTTTTTATTATATTAGATTTTTGAAAACAAACGTTCTGATGACCTTATAGGCGTGGTTCCAGTACCTATGCCATAAACGGACGGACAGCAGATGGCCGATGGAGGGAAAAACGACTAAAGTATAAATACCGCGAAGACGCTGGCTGACCAACTTTTCCTTCATTCGACAGTGTTCTTCGCGACAAACAACGTTACCTATTATTTTATTGTTATTATTATTATTTTTTTTTTTTTAATTGGGTTAATACTTTTCGATAATCAATATGAGTAAAGTGCCGGCTGTCGGTATCGATTTGGGCACCACGTATTCGTGTGTCGGTGTCTGGCAACACGGTAAGGTGGAGATCATAGCCAACGACCAGGGAAACCGGACTACACCCAGTTATGTGGCGTTCACGGACTCGGAAAGACTGATAGGAGATGCGGCCAAAAGTCAGGTACTGTCACTTTATAGGAAGATAGAGAAAGAGAGAGATAGTAGAGAACGGGTATTGTCCACTAAAACTTTCAAGTCGGACCCCAACGAATTACAGATAAAGTAAACTATAAGATTATTATAGCCATAACACCAGTGGACGAAGTGAATAAAAATATAAGTGATTGGGATGGAGTTACATGTAATATGGTAAATTCCTGAAAGTTTTTTTTTAACGGATGTATTTTTGCTTGTTAAACTGATTTGTTTATAAAAATCCTAGAAGGATGGATAATTTCCAAAACGAAATCAGTAGGGGGGGGGGGTGGAAAATACTATCTAAACAAGTGGAGGGTTGGCAACCTCCCCCCCTCCCACTTTGACTATTGTAGAATATCAGTATCTAATTGTTTTAAATACATATGCAACGTTTTCCAACGATGAAATATATTATACTGTCTACGGAATATTTTTCGAATATGAACGGCCGTAAAGTGTACAACAAACTTACAAGCGTTGGTTAAATCTGTTTTGATTATACATTAGAGTTTATATTTTGATGAACGAGGCAGTCGAGTCCTAGTTTTGGCACTGGTAGTATTTCGACATTGTGATCCCATGTGATAGAAATAAAAACTATATATTTTTAATTTTTTATATTGCAACGGTTACTATTAATATACAATTATGTCAGAGATCGGTCGACTGGCTACATAGTTTTTAAAATATCGTTTCAAATGTTTAGCGCGATGAATATATGTAAATGCCAGCAGATTTAAGTTTAGAAGCAATAACGCCGTCTTCCAAATACATAATTACATTATAACTTATACATCGTGTTATATTGCTTGAAGTTTGTAACTGTATGAGATGCGTCTATTTTTAAAAACGCCGAGTATCTTTTTTTTTAATTAGCAAAATAAAAATATTATACAAGAGAATAATTTGATGTGTTGATCATGATGTATTAACTAGGGAACTATAACTACTAGGCGTCACTTGGCAATTACATAAAAGTATCACTGTATAGATCAAGTACGGTAATTGTAACTGGAAAAATCTGGAAAAATAAAGGCAAATTTTTACATACAAAGAACCATCAATATTTGTATTATGTAGTAGAGTAACATTTGAAAACAAATTAAGTAAATCATCTAGTTATGACCTAACCAATTACAAATTATATTTTTTTTGTTAAAATGAATATAATATTGAAAAAATAATAGTATTAAACATTATTAAATTATGATTTATATTTTATAACAATACTTTTAGCTATAAAATTGTATTATTCGAAGTTCTTTTAAACCGCGTTTGACCGAGTAGTTTAAAAGCGTACTTATATAAAAATTACATAAAAGTAAATATAACATTTTTTTTTTTTAAATAGTTTTATATTTTAAAGACATTCATATAAGTAGGTATAAGTATTCTCGTTAGAATTTTTTTGTATACCCGTTAAGGATTAATTCTATTCTATTGTAATTCGTGTCGTAGTCTTATATAAATGATAGACAAATTAAAAAGGATATAGAAAGCACCGTGTAAATTCTTTGGGTTATAGCTCCTAAATTCTCAATGATATTCTCAAAAACATACATTATCTTAAAGCAACCTACTAAACGTCTTATTAAAAAAGAAACGTTTTCTATATTTTTATTGAGTTCAGGATCTTTTAATTTATTAATGTATCTTATTTATGAAAAACTCCGGCACTGCTTTAGAGTAATATGTTCTGTTGTCACCAAGATTTTATAAGTTAACATATTTTTTAGCCGTTACGCGGAGTTGAGAAAGTTTTGGCTTTGCAATGATGTATTAAAAAAAAAAGGGTTTTTGTCTACGATTTTAATCTACTATGGCTTTTTAACCAACAAACACATCACACATGATTCTTTTTTGTCAGTAATTTTATTGCTTTGTAGGATAAGTATTTGATATTTTAATTGTTTATTCCTAATAATCAACACACATTTATCGTTAAACGCACATAGGTACCTATTAATGTGCTGATTAGTAAGCTGTTTTTTAACACTCAGGAACTGGGCAGCGCAATATCATTATTCTGCATAATATCAAACTATGCTTTAAGTTAAAAATCTGAGGCCGGGGTGACCCACTGTCCTTGTTTTTTTTTTATTATTAATTGATTTACAGTATTTAAACAGTATACCCAATTTGTTATCATTATTTTAGAGTTCCAATCATCACATAACAGTAGACCAATTCCCAGATATATAACAGTAGACCCATTTCTCGTGTACCACAACAATACTATAAATTAAAACGGTTTGCTTTAATATAAATGTTAAAGACCTTTAAGTTCCATTTGAAATATGCTAGACGATAGACGACAAACCATGAGATATTGAAATCATAAATAAATGGCCTTGCTGTACAATTACAATTTTTTATAATTATGAAATATATATATATATATATATGTATGATATATGTAAACATAATTATGCGCGATTTCGATTTATAAATAAAAAAACAAAACACTTCATTGTAGCAATTCAATGGAGTTTATTTTTAAAACCGTTAAATCCGTGTGCGTCCCACTCGAGACAAAGATAGATGGGATAAAGAGAGAGGGAGAGAGCGAAAGAAAGAATATGTTAAGTGGAACTATTTTTTAAGATCGAAATTGCCTGAAACGTAAAAATATACAGCGTGAGTCATCGGGCACGGTCGTCATCGCGTGCGGATCGCTCTGTAGATATATTTTTTTCGACTTAACCCGACGGATTTCTCATTAGGCGTTGGCTGTGCGACGTCACACGAATTCATATAAGTTTGGCAAGCGGGAACGGCTGTCGCCCACATACGACGACCGTATTATTCTTATTACTATCAACAGCATCATTGTTGTTACTTGACAGTATGGTGGCCAGGACGCGTCCGAAGAAAACTCGGATACGACACGATTATTATTACCAACACCGTCAGGATAACCAAAAATACAGCGATGACACATCTGCGGATGTGTGTGATGTTACATGGCGCTCTGGATTTTATTTATTTTTCATAATATTAAATAACAACCGATTGCCGGCTGGAAACCGCGTGTGCCCGCCTTGGGAGCAACAGTTATTTCTAGAACGAAACGATATTTTTGGACTGCTAAAACCGTATGGCTTATAGCTATCAAGGATTATACAGTGTGTGCCATCCGATGTAAGACACTAATTTTCTCAAAAAATATAAATATTTTCAAAATTATTTTTTCTCCTTTACTTGTAGGTTCATATTTTACTATATTTTTGCAATACTCATTGTCAGTAAACAAGGACCTCTACACTAGCATTTATTAAGGCGCATAGTACAGGCAATTTTTCGCTTAAACTTAACATTAAGCTAACATTTTTAAACATACATATTACCATAGGATCTATATATTTTTATAACTATTTTTTTTTCAACTTTAAAACGCATATAGGATAAATTTGTATACAATAACACGTTTCTACTTCAAACGTACTGTCCTTAAAAATAAATCTATTAAAGTTTTTAAAAAACATTTGAATTCTTTACACCATTATCAAGGCATTGGCAAATTTTTAAAATAATTTTCAGTTAATTAATTATTTCAATATAAAAAAATTCTATTTTTAACTTTTTTAAACTGAAAATAATTTTAAAATTGTGCCACGGGGCCGATACGATGCCTTGAAAATGTTTTGACGAATTCAAAAATTTTTTTCAAAACTTAAATCGGAGTGTTCTTAGGAACAGTACGTTTGAATTAGAATGAGTTGTTTTCGACCAAAAATACGCAGGTAGTCTCAACATAAATATTAATTTTATGGGCTCTTGGGTTTTGGAAAACCGAAGACATAATATTATGATAATTAGGAAGCGAAATGTAATATCTTTGTAAAGTCATAGTAAACAGACAGTTTGTTGAAAGTTAAAAATTCAATCGGTTACATTTTTTAAAATTTTTATCTACATATTTATGGAATTAAAATCATATGTTTGAAAAAATGAAGTCCATACTTCACTCACGTACAAGGGATGAAAGTTAAAATTATACTAAATATTGCAAAAAATAATATTTGTAAATAAGACTCGCTTCTTTATCATTACATTTCATTGTGTCTGGTTATCGGTGTTTTCTTCGTTTCCATCAAAACGACCTTCGACCATTATCACCATGGGCGTTTTCCGCCAAAATAAATAAAAATTTGTTACCTAATATTTGAATCCATAAACCTAAATTTATAAAATTGTAATTTTTTTAGTTTTCTAAATTTAATTTGTGTTACAATTTCAGTTATCTATATAAACGTTACCTAACCTAACCATTTCAGTTAGTAACTTTTTCAAAAGTTGGAGGGGATCTGGAAAATAATAAAAATAATAAATGTTTAGTAATATTATAATAACAAAAACTATAAACTATGACTAACTATTTTCCAAGAAAATTAGTGGCTTACGTTAAATTTGATCACCCGGTATAGGTGTCCTATCCGAAAAAAAAACTATAATTACAAAAAACTAATGTTATTTCTTCTTCTGTTATTACCTTTGATTAAAATACATAGTCACATTGACGACCGATAGTTGTAATTATTCTCTTAACGACGTTCACTCGGACAATTCCCAAATCGGGTACGCCAGAGCGTGAGTGTACACAACAAGATGCCGTCCATTTAAGGAAGTCGACCCTCGATCCTTGGATGAATCACACTTACCAAAAATGCACACGGTCCGACCGTCACGCCATCGTCGACAGGCCTATAAAGCAGTACACTTACAATTTACATTATACATACATTTAAACACGTTATAAATATTAATACAACTTACCAATAGTATTATTTTACATAAACCAATCGAGAAACCGACTGAAATTTCTCGGTTTCTACCGGTTTAGCACCGGATCCCACTGTCACGACCGCTGATCTTGTAACGATAATTATTTTATTTTATTTTCCATATACCTAGTAAACGTGCTTATTAGGACAAAATATAGCGAGAGAGGTCGTTGTAAGAATATGCACATGAAGTTTTGAACATGATAACAATTACTTTTTTTCTGTGAAGTTTCTTACAAGCTCTTTTTATGGGAACACTTGTGTCCGGCCAATGCCAATTGTCGTGTTAAAAAACGTGTTACGAATACTTATCTGTGTAAGGCTGTAGAAAATATTGTTTACCGTTTATTATTATTGTTAATGTTTAAACACAAATTGAATAGATATATAATACCTAATACTGTTTAGTGTTTACACTTCTACTATACTTAACAAAATAATATACCTAATCGAATATACGAGCATTCGAAAGTGATTTCGATGAAATTTTCTAAGTTGCTACAAATTCGTATAACCTTTAATTTATAATAAACAATAAAAAATAGAAAACATCGAATGAATACTTGTTTTTTTTTTGTCCTACACTATAATTTACAAAAAGCTCGTTATTAAAAAATTAAATTACAAGGAGATAATTCATTTTTACAACGAACGACATATAATATGTAAAAGTATTGGAAGCAAAATGTACAAAATTTACACCAATAGAAGACATTTCAAGTTATTTAATATGTGGAATAATAACTCATCAGTATAAATATTAAAACGTCGCGTCGCGTAAAAAATTACTTATCCCACTTGTGCCATATACAGGCCACCCTTATTTTTATAGTTATTTTGTCTTATAAAATACACTTGCCAATTATTAACCTATTTACGTGTTCGTGAATGACGTGTTCTTCTATCTAACCCCTCGCATCACCTTCCCTCATTGTGGAGCTGATAAAGTATTGATTTTAATACTATTCTTCATAAAATATGTGAAAGTTAACCTGTTTAAAAAAAAAATTTTAAATGTGCAAATGTTTTACTTGAAATTAGGGTTTGCTATAACTTTTTGAAAACCCAAGAACGATATAAACCCTTTTCCAGGGGAAAAGGTGGGACCGTATTACTTTTTAGGTATAGCTTTTGGACTAACGATCTGAAGATTGAATTAAAATTAGGTGTAAGTAACCCAATAATAAATACATTTTTCTTTAAACATTTATATATTTAATATGTTGTTTTATTAAGCAACCCCAAAAAAAATATCAGGTAGGCTATATCAGAGAGTACAGCCACCAGTTTTCAACGTAAATACGTAGCTTTTGAATTGGGTAGAATCGAATACGATTTTTGTGCTTCCCGTTGAATTTTCAGCTTCAGCTCCCAATTTCTATTGAGTCTATTTATTTATATTACAAATAGTTAAAAAATATTTAAGTACAATAAAAATAATACAATATAAATTTACCATGACACAAATATTTTACACATTAAATCAAATATTATACATTATACATTAACTAGTAAATACCAAATTTGAGTCACACCCCACGCCATCCAGATCGTGACGTCACGAAACTCGTTAAGAGTATTAATAAAATATCCTATAATATAATATAATATAATATATAATATAATAACATTCCCAAAAGTATCAGTAATTTTTTTTAACTTACAATCTCTCGATAAATTAAAAATATGTTTACAGGTAGCCATGAACCCGAAGAACACGGTGTTTGACGCTAAGCGATTGGTCGGCAGAAAATTCGACGATCCAAAGATACAAGCAGACATGAAACATTGGTCGTTTGAAGTTGTCAATGAAGGTGGTCTGCCGAAAATTGCAGTCGAGTACAAGGGCGAAAGAAAAATATTTGCACCCGAAGAAGTCAGTTCGATGGTACTAAGCAAAATGAGAGAAATCGCCGAAGTGTATTTGGGCGGAAAAGTGAGTTTGCGTTTTTTGTCGACTATTCGATTAATATTGTGCGTGAATAATAATAATACCCGATCTGTATTCAACTACAAGCTTAAGAACAGTGTGAGTACTAATAATTGCATCGTGCACGTGTATAGGTTACCGACGCCGTGGTCACCGTGCCGGCGTACTTCAACGATTCCCAGAGACAGGCAACCAAAGACGCCGGAGCCATCGCCGGACTCAATGTGCTGCGCATTATCAACGAACCCACGGCTGCGGCTCTAGCTTACGGTCTGGACAAAAACTTGAAAGGCGAAAAGAACGTGCTGATATTCGATTTGGGCGGTGGTACATTCGACGTGTCCATCCTGGCGATCGACGAGGGGTCGCTGTTCGAGGTGAAATCCACCGCCGGCGATACCCACTTGGGCGGAGAGGACTTCGACAACCGTCTGGTCACGCACTTCGTCGAAGAGTTCAAGCGCAAAGGCAAGAAGGATATTAGCGGTAACACCAGGGCCCTGCGCCGGCTCCGGACGGCTTGCGAGAGAGCCAAACGCACGTTGTCCTCGAGCACCGAAGCTTCCCTCGAGATCGACGCCTTACACGACGGCGTGGACTTTTATTCGAAAATCACCCGGGCCAGGTTCGAGGAGATGTGCATGGATTTGTTCCGGTCGACCTTATCGCCGGTCGAGAAAGCGCTTGCCGATGCGAAAATGGACAAGGGCAGCATTGACGACGTGGTGCTGGTCGGAGGATCGACCAGGATACCGAAGATACAGAAAATGTTACAAGTAAATTCTGATTGCGTTTTGCATTTAGTTCTCGATAATAATATTTGTTTGTCTCTAGGATTTCTTCTGTGGCAAATCTTTGAACTTGTCCATCAACCCCGACGAGGCCGTCGCTTATGGCGCTGCCGTACAAGCGGCCATTCTCAGTGGCGACACCAGTTCCGCCATACAAGACGTTCTGCTCGTAGATGTAACACCACTTTCCTTAGGCATCGAGACCGCCGGAGGAGTGATGACCAAATTGGTCGAGCGCAATTCTCGCATTCCGTGTAAACAACAGCAAACCTTTACCACATATTCAGACAACCAGTCAGCCGTAACTATTCAGGTAGGTGCTATCCAATTCTACCTTTTAGCTTCGCTCCGTAGCTGAGAAGGTATTGCATTTACAATGATGTGTTTTATTTATGTGTCTGGGCCCACAACGCTTAACCGTAAAATGTATACATGAAACGTACTTTATTTAAAAACTTCTACCATTTTTCTTCAAAATCGAAATAAACACCCAAACAATTCAAACGTTAACTAATGGCCATTGATGCCGGGTTTTTATTTTAAGATCAATAAAAAAAAAAAAATTTAAACGTTGACAAATCAAAAAAGTTATCATAAATCCTTCTCTTTTAGAAAGGGTAGACACTTTTTTTTTTTTCACTTTTTCAGCTGATCTTTGATCACAATGTGCTTCGTTTCCATCATACCCCAACCCAACTGTGCTGGATTGTTTAGTTATTATTTTCCCATGTAGGTATTCGAAGGCGAAAGGGCAATGACCAAAGACAACAATCTTCTCGGCACGTTCAACCTGACTGGCATTCCTCCGGCACCGCGTGGAGTACCTAAAGTCGAGGTGACTTTTGACCTGGACGCCAACGGTATACTCAACGTTTCGGCGAAAGAAAGCAGCACGGGCAAATCGGAGAGAATAACGATCAAGAACGACAAAGGTCGGTTGTCCAAAGAAGACATCGACAAGATGTTGAAAGAAGCCGAGATGTATAGACAAGAAGATGAAAAACAAAAGGAACGCGTTACCTCGAGAAATCAGTTGGAAAGTTACGCGTTCAGTGTCAAACAGGCTGTCGAAGAAGCTGGATCTAAGTTATCCGAAGGTGACAAAAAGACGGTGTTAGACAGGTAACTATACAAATTTCACGCTCTATTTAAACATCATATTTAAATTATTTTTCAACACACACAGATGCAAAGCGGTAATTACTTGGCTGGAAACGAACACGTTGGCCGACAAAGACGAATTCGAAGATAAACTGAAAGACTTACAAAAAGAATGTTCGCCGATAATGACTAAACTACACCAAGCCGGTGCAAAGGGTCCGAATGTCGAGGAGGTCGATTAAGCATTCACCTTTTTGTTTTTAATACTTCAACTCATAAATTTCTATGATACAAGAAAAAAATATTTAAAACATTATAAGAAAAAAACAATCCACATCATTCAACATAGTATAATATGATAATATGACATAATAGTACCTATATTATTTTTTTGATAAATCAAATTAAATTACATTTTTTGAAAAAAGTTTCAATTATGTTAGTTATTACAATCCATAATTTGTTTCCTTAGCTTTTGCAATTATTGTTATCATCGTTTAAGAATAAATTACTTCATTAATTGGATTAAACAAAAATCTGCAATACTGTATTACTGTAGTTAATAACAAACACTTGGAAGCTTGTTTTAAACTTATCAAAAATATTACATTTACAATACAAAAGTCAATAAGAGAATCTAGGTTTTGCTGAAATGTATTATTTTACATGCTGAGTTAATAAATATATGCTGTTTATTAGTTGAAAATGTGTTCAAAAGACGTTTTATACATGTTACAAGTTTACTGGGTAGGTAATAAAGATTCATTGAACAGCCACTGTCTGATAGAATGCAACTACAAGGCACTTTCATTAATAACATTTTGAATTGGCTTAAGAGCTCTATGTACTATCAATTTTTTCGCTCGTAAAAACCAATTTTCTACTTCGTGAATTCGCGTTCTCTAAAAAAAAATAACCGAACATTTTTCAGCCGAGTCTGCAACCACGATAGAACATTTTCATGTCTCGTTGAAGTACCGAATAAATTAAGATTAGTTGTGGAATTATAGTTAAAAAAAAAATATATTACATGGAGTTTCCAGTTACAGCATAAGCCAAGGAGATTAAAAAAATTATATACAATCAAGTTTCTGGCTAAAATTGTAGTGTTTATTATCTGGCCAAAAGTAACTTAGCATTGAGAATTAAACTATTTTGAATTTATTATTTAGTTCTAATTTGAACGTTGAACGTACAACATATCTTTTATCTCCTATATCTTACCCCTATCACTAACCCCCTATCCCCTACCCCTATATCCCACCCATATCATATATCAGATAACAGCGTAACACTTTTTTCGTTACGCTTTTTTCGGTTATGCACCACAGCTAATTCCACCCCGTTCCCATTCCCATTCCCACCCCCAACTTCATCTTCATCCCCATTTATTTTTTCGTTATGCCTTTTTCGTTACGCTTTTTTCGGTTATGTGCCAGAGCTAAGACATGAAAATGTCAAAAAAAAAATATAACGTTATAGAAATCGCCGACAAGAAGAAAAACAATCTAGAGCTTAAGAAAACATCATGTCCCCCGTTATAGCTGTCCGTAAGCCACAATGCGACGATAGGACTTCCTTACTATTACTTTGTTTTATTACCAAAAGGGCGAAAATACAATCTTCTTTTAATAATTATCTAGTACCTCTGGGTATAATGGTATACTGGTAATTAGGTACTTACATAAAATATTAACAAATACTTTCCGTTTAACCGTTCGGATAAAAAAACCTATAGGGAAAGCTTAAAATTTTACAAAGAAAGCTTGTATTGTTTTTGAAATCTTTAGTAAAATAAACAAAAAATTAATTCATTTCTCACGTCTCACAATAAACTTATTAAAAAGGTACAAATCTTTTAAAGGTTGTTTTAAAACATCTTTACTGAATAGAAAAAACTCCAAAAAATTAGATTATAATAGTTTTAAAACGCATAAAAATTAATCTTTATGCAGCATTATCTTTCAAGAGCGAATTTACAATTCATTTTTTTATCAAAATGTATTATTTTCTAATATAACATATCATTTAATGCATTTTATATGTTTTATCGTTTAAATGGATTACATTATGTATAAGCTTGGAACTATTTAAATATTTTTTTATTTTATTAAAATTGAAAAAAATTATTAAATTACAAAAATTATTTAAATAAAAATTGAAATAATACATTATTTCAAAAAAAAATGTATTATGCCGTGAAACAGCAAATATATTTCAACTAATTGTTTGTTGTTTAATGAAAAAATGGCCGGACTTGATTGTGTAGAGGTATTCTCCCTATCGACAGGTTTTAGTGTATTTTTATGTCGCATATTCCGTAAAAATAAAAAGCCTGTGTAAGTTTTCTTTTTAATCTAACATTTATTGAACTCATCGTGTATTGAAAATGCGGAGTTATGAAATGATAAAAAGCAAATAAAAGAACAATAGACTTTTAATCATCGTCAAGAACCAGGTCATGTGAAGTAAGAAAAAAAAACATTTTCATTTTATTTCTCTCGATTGTTTTTTTTTGAGCGCATTCTATTTACACTGAGATGGATTTTTATATAATCCGGACGTCTTATCTATCTAAACCTTAACCGCAATCACACCACCCTAATATATACTGGAAATACAGTCTATATCCGCTACGCTATGTGTACAGCAATAAATAGGTATGTTTACTTTGTATATTTACTTGAAAAAATTTAACCTAATAAATTATGTAATTTATTTTTCATTGTATAGTTTCTTTTTTTTTTTAATTTGAAATTAAACGTCTAGAAGTTAGACGGTCAAATATTAAGTGTCCAGTGTTCCTTACTTTATGGATTAAAAACAGATAAAAAAGTCTAGAGATCAGTCGGCTAAATGTCTATTATGATATGGTGTACCTATGTGAAACAAAATGTGTTCAAACGTAGTATACTGTTAATTTTATGTCCAGATATTGGTTGAATTAAAATCCTTATTTGTTCAGAAATCACCGTCTATGCCGGTATAGACATACTGTACGATTAGAATTTTACCCTTAGAGGTGAGAGGTACATTACATATATACATTACTGCTCAAACAGATATTAACAATTTTATTCATAAAAAAATACAGCTTATCGCTCGTTTTCTGACAAAGTTTACTTAGGTACTCATTAGGTACTTAAACACATATCTGTTCGGTTGTATGAAAATTGGTAAAATTAAATAAAACAACGAATAAAATAAAATCAATAAAACATAGTTATCATTTTACTTTTATGAGTAATTTTATTTTAATTTCACGTGTCTGATTTTTACGATTTTGTTATATCTAATACTCCATTAGAGAGGAGCCAAGTATAGGCAATAACTGTTACACCAAGCAAACGACGGCCTCACTGTGTATAAATATATTATACAAATAGGGGAAGCCCTTCTGGTAAGTCTGACCGACTCTCTTATAGAGTTACAGAGTACTTGTATGATTGGTGTGTTTGTGTGCATTAATAATATTATACTCGTTTTCAAACCACCCTTGAGGTAGAGTATCAGGCTCGTCTTTTTTTTGGCGTGGTGTCTCCTCTAAAAAACAGTTTTGCCGACAAACCAAACGTTCCACTTTCACTTCTGGCTGTCGCTCAAAACGTCTAAGAAGGCCTAGTCCACGACTGTAAAAATACATATTTTAACTAAATGTCAATGTTTATGTTTTATGTTAATATTTTAATTAAATTAATAATGTTATACCTACCTATTTGTTGCAGCGTCGACCGTGTTCGATCCAGCATCTTTGCTTCGGCCTTCCTAAATATTGTTCTCTTCATGACAGCTAGCTTTTTCTTATCTACCTGGCCGGTTGTAGGCCACATTTCATATTATCACTGGTCTTGCTAACATTCTGTATAACCGTTTTTTCGATTTCTTCTATAACAATTTGGATCCCATTAATCTCGAGAGTGATTTATGTTGCTTATGTTGGCACCTAGATACTTAAAATCGTTTACTCCTGCTGTTTGATTCGTTTGACGTTTATATGAATAAAATTGACTTACCGTCTTCAATGGGAACAATCAATTAATTAACTCCAGATACATTGTCATGTCATCAAATTGTTTCATTGTTTTCGACCATTTAGTTAAATTTTCTTTAACCGAGATAATTAGCTCGCCAAGCTAATTTCAATTTACTTAAATTATTGTTATTCGTAATTTATAAATCATATATATTTTTTAAATTCCATATTGCCCTTATCTTATAATATACATTTCAATTTTTAACCATCACACACTTTAGAATTGTTCAGTTAAGGTAAGTTGTCCAAACGTTTAACCCTAAATTGCCTTTTGTTAGACACAGAAGAAACCGGGTTATCTCTGTTGTTATTATTACATTTTCTTATTTAAGATTACAAACTTCATCGGTTGCTACCTCTGGAAACTAATAATTTTTAAATTAGTCAATATGCTTTTTGCTTAAACAACAACAAAAATTTACTTTTTGCAAGTCTGTTATCTGTTGCTAAACCACTTTTTTTCTTTTTTCCCCAATACAGTTAAAATATTTTTAAGAGTTATATTTTGGTTAATATCGTTTGACTTATGTGGTAGACAAAAACTATGTCTACATACGAATCAAATACTTAATACATTTCGCATTTACATTATTCAAATTTTTACTAATGAAGGTATCATTATATCAATTTTGACTTACCGTCTTTAATAGGAGCAGTAAATTTATGAATTCCGGATAAACCCTGAATGCATCCACTCTATTCTTCCCCAGAGAAGCAAAGTAAGCAAGTCAGGTGCCGGACGGACTTGTGGAGAAAATGCTTCAATCGTGGGATGCGTGGCAGGATATCTCGGGCTACATCAAACGAGCTATGGTAGAACTAGAGAGTGCGAAAAGAGAATGACAAAGACTTTAATACTAAATACATTTGGCATAGGCTGCTGCTGTACTTGACCGACTAATTACATTTTTTTGAAAAAGTATCTAAATACACATTATTAGAATTTTTACAATACGAAGCCATAAATGAGTTCAATCCGTGCTGTTGAATTTTGACCTTTATTCCGCCATGCTTCTAATGTTCGTTTCTAAGTTTGTAGGCGTTATTGAAAATATTGCCACATTTCAATTTTGCGTTCTTATGTAAATTGTTTGCGTTTTGCAGGTAGATATTTTTGCTTAAGAAGAAAAAACCTTTAGCTACACAAATCATGATTAGGTTTACACTGAACGCGCCGTTTTAAACACTATTTATGACAATTGTGGAAAGTTCAGAGTAAAAACAAGCCAAGTTCATCACAGCTGATTTTCAGTAATTGACTGCCAAATTGTTTTTTGCCTAATCTACTCTGTGTAACAATGAACTAAGGCAAGTCCTTACTCGCTACCTTCACTATTAAACTTCAATCAATTCAAATTTACCGACCAAACGGTCGTTTTACAATATGTTCATTTGGCATTGTATTTTTAATTAGTATAAATGTATTTTATGTTATATGGATTGTAATTTTAAATTTAAATATTTGGTTAATAATACACACACCGACCGCTTGCGGAGTCTGGTGGTTGCCTAAATGTATCTTACTATACTTGAATATTATTACGACCGGCATGTAATCTGAACTTTGTTAATACAATTTTCCATTTAAAGACGTTTCCCGTGCTCCGTTTCTGTCAACTAATTTTGTTCGAACGGCTATTGAAAACTAAACAATATTCGTCTGGGTATACAAACGTGTATAAAATATAATAAACAGATTTCAGCCAGACAATACCTATGAAATATATTAACCTGATGCCACGATGCTTTGTCTATTACTTTCCGTCAAAAGTTTTTTTTCTATATTATTTTTAGTGGAAAACCCTTCACTGTCACGTAAACCTGCGTCACTAAAAGCTTATATTTTTTGTAATACAATTATAGCAAATTTGAAAAAATCTTTTTTAAGGTAAGAAAGGTTTAAGGTTTAAGATTAAAATAAAATAAAAAAAAAAATAGAATTTTTATAAAAATAACATTTTGTTTGACCTTAAATTCCATTCAATTTGTTTCTCCAATCAGTTAATATGTATTACGAACAGTATGTAAATACGGCGTTATAATTTATAATGAGTTATTACATGCACTGTTTAAAATGTTAATATTATTCATTATCGATTAGGTCTATGACAATACCATTGAATTTCTATTTGACTAATCAGTATTTAATTTGCACAGCTAAAATCTATTGTTATAAATAATTTACTAAGATTTATATTATTTATTTTGCTGAATTAGGGGAATAGGAAACACATAACAGTTTAACTGTTTAAGGTTTATAATTACTGTCAATTCAACTTCAAATTTTAGTAGACAATATATTGAAATATGTATTCAAATATTGTGACTTAAAGTATTTTAGTTCCATGGTAATCTAATTTACAATGTAAATTGTATTTAAAAAATATTTATACTATATTTAATAGTAATTAAATAAGAATAATAATATTTACTATCACATCTTTCGGGTATATTGTAGCTAAATTTAAGGTTAATATCGTTCTTGAACTTTTTTTCCTTACTTCAGAATTTGAAGTAAACAATATAAATTAAATAGTGTTCTTTCTAACTCTTATCTGTCCACCATTAAAAAAAAAAAAAAAAAAACGTTAATTTATGTTAATGCTGACCTTTTAGTTTGTTTTCTTTTATTATAAAATTAAATGCAGCACAGCAAGCGATTAATAATCACAATGGTTGTGTGCGCTGTGGTCTTTTTGACTACCATAAATCAGTCAACGTAGTAGCCAAATGAAATATCCTCTGTAGATTTCATTATCAATACGATGGTATTCAGTAAACAATTAGCTCAACGAACATGTGCAGAACTAACACATCCGTGGAATCAAAACTGTTTCCGGGCATATGCAACTATGTTCCGTTACGGATGCATTGGTTTCAGCCAAATGTTTTTCCCAATTGTATTGGTAAGTTTATTTTTATTAACTCAAGTTGTATCAACTCTGAAATTATGATATTTCATTTATCGTTATTTTTTTGTTTTCATAACAAAGTCTTACTACTTACTTAGTCTCAGTTAAATGGCTTATATAATATTATTAAGATTGTTCATAGAACTATGCATTAGTCAATTTCGGTTTAATTTATAATTTGGTCGTTTAAGTATCCAAGAGGTATTATCTCTGAACACTTGTACGTTTTTATTTTTTAAGGCTCAATACATTTTCAAAGCTCGCAAATCGAAAGTGGACAAAAAATGTGCTCGGGCCTTTTTAATCGACTATTTACAGTATGTTGGATTGGGAGGATTCACAGCCACTTTATTTGTGATTTTTAGTTGTACACTCAGGTATGAAATATATTAATATCAATATTACTAAGTTAATTGTTTCTTACAAAAATAATAATATTATACAATGTGATTATTTTTAAGCGATCCACTCAATACGTCGTATAACATAGAGTTTAATTAGTTATTGCATTTTTTTCCGTAGTGTTTTTATACAATGTGATATCAACTTTTTACAAACTGTTATATTTTAAACCCTCTCTCATCTATTTTGTTTTATGTCAACTTTTGAAACTTTATACGTCGACTGCGAATTATCTCGTACTTAGTTTACTTGCCATAAAACACATGCTTTTTGATGACTACTGTGTACTATAGTTAGAGTTTTTAATAATAAAATATGATTAAATTAAGTTGGCTTTTTAGACCTGTATTCTAAGATTACCGTGGTAGTAAACCTGTAATTTATTAACTTTTTAAATTAAAATAACATACTAATAAAAAGAAACCCCGTTTGTCGCTATACACTCGATTTTCTCCACAACAACCCCCTGCCACACCCCCTAATGGTTGTGTGTACTTGCCCCATTGGTAATAATACAGTTTGGTGTGCTGATGAGGACTATGAGTGGTTGACGACTGAAGTTGTTAAAGTAATCGATAGCTTTCCATAGAATACCATGGAATACTCGTTGGATCACGTTGTATAAAAGCACTAAGAAAAATAAAAATTCAATTACTGAGTAGATAACTTTATGATGTATTGAGTGCATCACTTTGGAAAAAAATAACCCTGCCATGTACAACGGAGTTGTCTTGTTGGATATCCGTACCGAGTTTCTTAAAGCTTGTTTAATGCATTTTTTAGCGCATTAAAAAACGGTAAATATCTGTGGATGTACATAATTATGCTTAAATGATATCAATTGTAATTTAATATTTATAATAATCTTTACTCGATATGTTTACTTATATTTCTACTTTCAGGAACTTGTTAGGCAAGTTTACTCAATCAACTGTTGCTTTTTTCCCCGGTGCTTTGTCTGCCTTATCGTTGTTGCTAGTGACGCCAGAGTCTAGAAACTTTTTATCAGCCGCATTATGCAATACAGTTAGTTTCAAAAATTAAACTATACCGCCTTCTCTTGATAAACTATCGTCGAACAGTGCATTTTTTTTTTATATTTTATATATTATATAGAGTCTAGAGTCGGGCATCATAACGATGCAAGAGTTAGGACTATTTCCAAAAGGATTGACATCCGAAACGCTCTTTTTTATGACGACCAACGCATTTCTCATGTATTTTTCCCTGTTGTCAAAATCTCTAAACAACAAATGGTAAGTTCTATTTTATTTGGTCGACCACTGACGGCACTGAAACGCGTTGTTACTTTTGTGTAGGTTTTTCCAGCCAACAAAGGATAATGAACCAGATAACGGCGATAACAGCAGCGACAACTTACAGTTTTTGAATAGCACTCTGAAGGTAAAGCGGGTGAATAAACTTTATTGTTTTAAAAATAAACATTTGTTTTTTATTCTTATCTCTTGTTTCGACAGAAAGCAAGACAATATTTTACTTTTGGCGTGGGCATCGGCGTATTCCGCACAATAATCGGAAACGTTACCGTGCTGGCACCAAAAAACTTTATCAAATTGTTCAATATAGACTTACTGAAATCCGGAGTCTTTGCGGCATCCAACGTGGTCATCTATGAGGTACACTGACTTCATGCCTAAATAATAATGATAATATTATATTGATAAATTATGTCAACGGTTTAGCTTCAAAGTGGGGCTGAGAAGGTATTATTTTTACAATGATGTGTTTTTATTTGTGTGTCCGGGCCTACGATATCCTAACCGATTTCTTCATGTCTACAGTTCAGAAATCGTACCTTTATGCATTTGCATGCTCTTTTTTTTAAAATAGTCAAATTAGCTCCAAGTTTTGTATGGAATACTCTTTAGATGAAGTACTACAGATAAACGTGGACACGGACCCCTTTCCCTAGAAGGGATACAACTTGTTTCGTTTCGCTTTCATTGGTAAAGTTTAAGGTTCGGGTTTAAGGTCTAAAAACTAGACTAAAGGCATGTACAGAATGGGTCTATAACAATATATATATATATATTTTAAAAATATGTAATCAAACTTTTTTTTATTAATGAAAACCAAAAAAAAAGGGGGAAAATTACTCTCTGACCGTAGAAAATTTCTAAATTGCAACGTGTGCGAGTCAATAAACAGGCAATGGGTATTTGAAAATATGTTCATTAAGAGGACGCTACCCACCCGTAATTTATCCGCAAAAAATGGCTTTGCGGGGGACAAGAATGTGAAGGCGATATTTACAGTAACCGTATACAATTTTTACAATTGGATAGAAAAGAACTTTATTTACGGGGTAGCGATTTTAGTTTTTTGATAACTTAATCACAATTAAAATTATTTCTTCGTGAAGATTCTATTTTTTTTTAAATTTTCATTTGCTTATAAAAAAATATTAAGTATAGATATCAAACAAATAAAATCGCTACCCCGTAGATAAAGTTCTACTCTATACATTGTGAAAATTTGGTAAATCTACTGTTAATACTGCCCTCACATTCTTGTCCCGCGCAAAGCAGTTTTGATGGGGAAAAAATTGTAATTTATCCTATAGAAGTGACTGTGATAGTCTGACGAAAAAAATGGCAATCAATAAAGTATCCTCATTACTGTATTAATAAGTATATAATATAGTTCAAACTATAATTTAAGATTTTTCGGAAAATTGCCTATATTTTACTCCTTAGAAATGGCCTGGGTAGCGTCCTCTTAATTGTTAATTACTGTTTGGGGAAATACATTTTTATAGACAGACGATCAACCCTAAACGTATTCACTCTAATACAAAAAAATGCATTTTTAAGCACATTATTGTTATTAGGTACAATGCTTTTATTACATTTTTTTCTTCTACCGTTACAGACTCGCATGAGAGCGTTTATCTGAAAGTTATCTTATCACTTTCAGTTTTAATAAATCATATAGTCCTATAACTACCTCCGTCAAAATATGCTCCGTGCTCACTATACTCCAACCCATCTGTACTTGATTTTATTATTTTTAATACAGTCTGTCGTGCACTTCTTGCGCCGGAAATTCCAAAAGCGGTCCACCAAATATGCGTTACCCGCCGGATTTTTAGCTGGCCTACCTTACGCTGTCGATCCAAATCTATCGATAAGTCTATCCGCTTTCATCAACGTAATACAGGCAAGTACACCAACCATAAGACGTATGGTTTTCCGCTGTAATCTGTGTTTAAAAATAACCCTACATTTTTAGCAAACCGTAAATATTCATTTATTATTTATTCCATTTAGGTACAAAAAATTGATAAATTAATAAAGTAACATAAAAAATGCGGTTGTACGGTTGTCGTAACGTTTGACTTCTATTAAACTAAATATCGTTTATTGTAGCTCGCCTATGACTTAATTGACGATTTGAACATTATCAAACGAATACCGATGAGTATGGTTACGGTTTGTTTGTTAACCGGACTTTTGTATCATATTCGTTTGTTCCGGGAAAAAGATTGTTCGAGATTTGGAAAAAAAATGATTAATTTTGCGACTAACGGGTTGTGAGTATACACATACAAAATTATTCTCAACTTTCTTGTTTAACTTTCTTAACGTTTCAGAGACGAAGTGATAATTAAGGCATTTGTGAAACACGGCTTGTTCTCAATAAATTAAAGAACTTTCATATTATTATCTATAGCAATTCTTTTATTTAAAAACATGTACACATATAATAGAACGTTGTAGAACATTTAATGTAATAAACATTTTCGTAAAAACGGTTTCCTTAATTTTTTTTATAACCAAGAAAGGAAGTCCTTGGATAGATACATGCATTTTGTAGGTACTCAAATTCTACTCGGATTACTCTGTCAAGTTTCAAGTATAAAATTTACACCAAACAGCTTCATAATTACAAAAATAAAGTAAATAATAATACATAACAGATATTAATAGAGAAATAGAAAATTGCGCTGAGTGTGATGTAAAAAAAAAAAAAAAAATACTTAGTGAAGGGAGTAGGCCGAAGAACGAAAGTGTCAAAAGTTAGATAAGGTTATTAGCAAGATGCATCATTCTAGTTCGTTGTGTGTTGCTAGCAAAGTTTATTTGACTTACTGGCGGATTAAAAAAGACTGTAAAGCCTCAGTGAGTGAACATAAGCCCCAAATCTTTCACTTGCATAACACGTTGAAGAGGCGACTCGTTAAACCATTAATCTTACTTAAACACTTCTCGTATACGAGAGAAAGACATTATTTTAAATTTAATCGTGTTGAGATAGAAAGCGATAGTTTAATACTTTTTTAAAATTTAAAATGTATTTTATACGATCTGTATTTAGAATTATTTATCAAATAACAGATACCTAATTTATTGTATTAATTTAAATGTTTATGCAGTTATTTTAAATTGCATGTCTATTATTTTAAAAACCATGTAATACATTATGTTAAGCTTTTCTTTTTTTTTGTTAACCAATGCCTTTTATGATATTTACTTAGTTATATAGCATTTCGAATGGTACGCCGGTAAACAAAATGTTTCATATTGTTTTGAGCTCAAAGTAGAAGTTAATTATAAATATTTTTAGATGAACTTAAAAGACAATGCATAAATGATTAATAGTTTATGTTTCTAATAATATTTTTATCGTAAAAGAGCAGCAACAGAGCTATAAACTGATAATAGGCTTGTTGTGAATTTGCAATCATATTACTATTGGTATATATAATATATATGTATGTAGTATTATAGGTTGTTAGTTTAAAAAATGTGTATATATTTTACGAATGATGGAATTCTCTACATTAAAAAAAAACATATCTCAGCGTGGCGTCAAACAATAAATAAATGTAACAAATTCGCATATTTTATACTACCACAATCAGTACCGATTTGTCATTTGCCGAACACCAGTTGGTATTGTTTTTTTCAGATAATATATTCATACTATAGCCTGTATACTACTAGTTTTAAATATTTTGATCGTTTATGATTAACGCGGTACCATATAACGTGCTACGTATAATACAATTACATTGGACCATTCTCGACAACCGGCCAACATCCCAACATATTAACACAGGTGAGAATATATAACTATATCAACAAAAACTTAAAAAAATTACTTTATTAAAAATAAAAAGCTAGTACAATGTGGTCGGGTCATAGTGGGGACAGGAGTTCACGGGTCTACGGGAATTGTTATAAATAAAAGTGATAAAATAGATAAACGTGTTTGTGTTAATTATTACAAAATCTGCGAAAAAGGTCCCAATTTTTTACTTCGTTTAATATGTTATGGATACATACATACATATAAATTATTATTAGTTATTACCATTATTATTATTACTGTTATACTATGCGCCTGACACAAATATAAAAAAACCATACATATAAGTTCTAACTCCTGACAAATGTTCAACTTAAAGGTCCTAAAATTACGGCTAAAAGACACAAAAAATGTTGCAACCCTCTTGGGGGAAAGGGGAATGGGTATAATTTAAATTTGAAACTATTGACATAAAGAGGCATACCAAATAAACACTCATTATAAATTACAACTCGATCTGACCTTTTTTATCGAAAATATAGCCAGTAAAAGTTGAAACTTTAAGATTCGTATGTTTTTTTTTTCATTTAAATGGTAAAAAAATGAACTTTTTCAACTATTCTTTCTAAGTGGTAGTTTGTATAAAATAAAATTTTGTTTTACAAAATTAAGAATTTAAATCAACAAATAGAGAAAACATGGATTATTGTCTAAAAATAAAATTTGTTTTTAATGAGTAAATTAACTTTTAATTTGGATAAATCCAATGTTGAAGAAAATATTATATTTTTTTAAGTCGGTTAAATTATAGCACTTTGACCTTTGAAAACTTAAATCATAAAACATGGTTCCAAAATTGATGAATTGTAAATCTCGACCAAATGAAAGAACTGGATTTTTGATGTATCATTTAGATACTCTGTTAGGTAACTCTTATACACTGTACCAATGTAAATCGTGTACAATTATGATTTTATTATAAAAATGCACATTGGACATTTTATGTACGTACTTCACCATAACATTTTAAGCTGTTAATTGCTATGTATGCCATTTCTTACTTCTATGATTTGAGTTCGACTTGGTTTTATGGCATATTTTATAACCATTTTCAGCTTTCTGGCCTGAAACCTTATTGCATAAAAGAAATATCTTTGGTCGACCGTATTCGATAGCTCAATGATTATCGTTTGGTATCAGCCAATGGCTCAATAATTTTAACTAAATTACAAAATACAATTTTCAAATTGTGATAATAAATACGTTTAGTTTTATGTCACCAGGAACCAAAATCAATAGTAAAAGTTTACATTGTTAAACATAAAGCAAGTAACACAATAAAGTACATTTTGTTTTATTTCTCTGTCACTTTGAATGTTTCTGTTGCTCCATAGTATCTTCCCAGTCTACCTCCACCCAAATATTTAAAGTGCCCAAAGTGCCTGATCCTGTAAATTCCAGCTGGTGTTCCTTCCGGAATGGTCCATTTAATTTCGGCCACACTAGTCGCCCAGAACCACGATTTAGTTTCCCAGGAAAACCTAATCAATAAAGAATACACCGAAGGTCGTGTAAGTACATAAAACAGTGAAGTCCAGACGAAGACATAAAATATAAACAAGCGAATACCGACAAAATATAATACATCGAATGGTTATTTCGCACTTACTCGGTTTCCCAATTAGCGTCTGTGGCTATTATATCCCATTTTGAATCGGATCCCATCCGCTCGACTGTTAAAAACGTCATCTCCAACATGGGGTTGTTTCTCGGATTACCGGCTACCTGTTAAAATCGGTGCATAAATACAATTTTCCTCACAACCGATAAATTCTTAACAATTTTTTTTAATTTATTTTCATTATGAATCTTGTGTACATGATAACTATTCATAATCAGGACAACATAATTGATGTTCACTTACAAATTTAACACTTATTGTATCTCCGGGGGTAGCCGAGTACGGGGGTTGTTTTATGCAGTCGCCGAATCCGTAGGGCGACAAAGGAGTGTCGTATATGACCGGCGGCAAAAACGAAACAACTTCGGACGTGAACACCGGTGCTTCGGGTCCACGCTGGAGAGTGACACCATCGGCTAACGCAATAGCTAGTTTCGCGTATTGCTTCAAATATATCGGTAACGTATGCGGCCCATAGATTGTAGACGCTCCTTCGTAACGCTGCAGCTGAATATTAAAATATACACCAACTGAGAAATTTATAACTAAATGTTATGTCATGAATATGTCTTAGGTCTTATGGCTTGTTACGTCGCTCGAGTTTGATCTAACCAACATCTAACCTAACTCTACCTTCCCGATAATGATAAGAGAATAGTGACAATGGCACAGAAGAGACAGTCAATGAGAAGTCGAAATTGGTAAAATTGTTAAGAGCATCAGTGTAGCCAGTAATTAATTAACCATTATTACTAATTATTCATTGCTTCCAAAACTGATTACACACATTTTTCGGCTATTTAAATCAACTAAAAAATGGTAATTATTTTCATACTACCTACCTATCCTGATTCTCCCACAAGTGTAGCAAATCTATCTCCCATAAGAATCCGTGTTATTCTTGAAAAGTATCTCTTCTGATTATTCTGTGATAATGGCTTTTGTAAGACATTAGTGATAAGATAGAAGGAAGGATAGAAAATTGTAGATGGAGGGAGGAGAGGAAGGGGAGGGAGAGGCAGTGGAAAAGAGATGGGCGGAGAAAAGAAGTTATTATTGATAAGAGATTATCGGTAAAAGAATCGACTGATTACAAAAAATTGGTCATTTGTTAATTAGATTAATTATACATTTTGCCATTTCATTTGTTATGTTAAATTTTCTTCTTTTCACGTACCATAGGACAAATTCATGGTCCAATGCATTTTCTTCAAAGGAAAATCTAACGAAGTTCTTATTTTTAATTTATACTACGCACAGAGTGTAAAATAATTTTAAAAAATCATCATAATCATAAACCCCGTTGAGTTAGCAGTGCTTTTTAAAATTATATATACATATATATATATACTACAAAAAAAAGTCATTGGTGCAATAACGTCATAATCATTTATACAGTACATGTATACATACTACGGTGTACTTACCTTGTATTCTTCAGGAGTGGTTACGTAATCGCTGTACGTGTTGCAGAGACCGGCTATAACTACGATGCACTTAAGGTCGTTGCACAGCTTATCGGCTACCACTTTTCTGAGTCGTCTGCCCGACATGGTAGTAAATTCGCCGGGAACACAAACGATTATTAGCTGACCTAGTATTGCCAGCTGGGTGGACACTATTTTCGGAGACCACGGCGAAGGGTAGTTGAACTGAAACATGATCACAGTCAATATGCATGATTCGATAGCACATGGTCATCCTGTTAACCTCTCCCGATGACAGCACTATTGACTTTTCGGCATGACACTCAATTTGTTCTGAGGTAGGCTTGGGAATAACGTTTGTGACCAAATTCCACAAGGGATTACTGGACATGGTTGAACCTTCTTCGAACGAGAACAGCCCAGGACCGTCTATAGTGCCCGAAGAAAACGTATGGCCCAACGCCGGACTACAGCCTCTGCCATTGATAAGCTCACCGGTGTACGGATCCGTGTACTCGACATTTTCTTTAGCCATGTTGACATATTGATGTATTGATCTCAATGGTCCCTTTATCTCAAATTCGGGTTTCTCATTCATCAGTTCCTGGTAGATTAGATAAGAGTAATTCGTTATTAGCTTTTGTACACTATATCTTATAGGTCAGTCGATAAAGAAAAAATAGCGGAAAAGATTTCCAAGCAAAATTGTTTTTTCAAAAGCCTTATTGATATAATATTATGTTGTACAACATACTAAACATTTTAAGTATGCCGAAGTTAAAACTATTTTTACTGTAAACTATCTGTTTTCGAAAAATAATATTAGATATATTTTTTTGTAGGAAATTGGTTTATAAGTATTTTCTGTTTGAAATTTGCAATATTTTTCAAGTTATTTGTAAAAGCTCAACGAAAAAAGCTCCAGATAATCGATGAGAGCATTTTGTATGTTGCTGTACATATTCTATCAATAAGACTTTTGAAAAAAAAATTTGGTTTGCCAATTTTTTCGCTGTTTTGCTAAAAAATGTATCTTAATTGACTGGCCTATTGTTTGTGCTACTCATATGCTCACAAACGCTTTTCCAAATAAACCCTCGGCTATCATTTTGGTGCTCTCTTTCATGTTTCTACCCGGTCCGGAAGCCACACACTGTTCATTGACTTCACACTGCGGTCCGGGTATGTCACACGGTTTTCCGGAGTTTTGGCATCGAGGCCCTCTCACGTTAGGTGACACATCCCCAAGATTAGATGAAGCAAATGCAGCAACAAACCTTCCCTAATTACCGGGACATCAGTTAGTTAATTCATTGTGAACCAATTATTATATTATTTACAAGTGGTAATGTTATGTTTAAAGTAGCTCACTTTCCCAATCAAACTGTCCGGGTTCATCCTCTGTTCGAACATCACCGAAGCGTAACCGAGGTTGTCCGATGACACAAGTCTGTTGCTATTATTCATACTGGTCGCATGAACTGCATACCAATTGATCACTCCAATGGGAGCTCCGAACTCGTTTTCAAACTTTACCTGCACCATGGTCTTATCGACGTTGTATTCGTATCTGCAAGACGGGATAAAACATTTAATATTCCATTGGTACATGCGCTAAAATCCATAATGATTAGCTATGAATACAAACAACAGAGCCAATAATTATAATATTAAATTGACGTGTTATTGCGTAGTGTTTTGGCACCGCTTCGGTAGTGATTTTAACACAAGGATGGATTTACTCACTCAGCTCGTTCCGCTTCCGGATTTTGCAAATATGACTGTGGACTTCTGCTAATAGATACCCCATGAAGTTCGCCTCTGTTGACGAATACGCGACCGTAGTCCAGTTTGTCGTGTGCACGCAGTATGCTCTGCCAATGAAAAGATATCAGTTTGATTTGTAGACATTTTATTTAACGGTTAACCGGTGTATACGAGCCAACTTAATAATTGCAATGCATGTGCCGAAAAGACACTTGAACTAGTTTGGGTTGATGTTTCAATATTAATGATTTTCCCAAATTGGCTGACAAATTTCTGGTGTGTATAACCGGTTTGATCTATCGTTGTAAATTGTCATGCGGGCTATATTATTACTAAGAAGCACCGAATTCAATATAATATGGAACGCTTATTCAGATTGAAAAATGTCTCGACCTGGGAGGCAGCCATTTTGTGTGTACCAGTTTTATACAAAATAAAAATGCCACGTTACTTTTCCATGATATATATTAAAAACGTTAGATTATGTGATGATAACACCGTCATATCACATACTATTTTCATATAGCCTGTGGTCATATAAATCATAGAAATGTTAGATTAGGTGATGATAACTCTGTTATATATATTTGATATCATAGACAAAACAATAACTGTTCACAAAATGGCAGACAACCATAACCAATATGCGTTCCATACAGTTCATTCAGTGCTAAGAAGTCTACGTGTTGAACGCTTTTGACCCGCATTTATACTAACCAACGTTATACCCTTTGCCAGAGAGATAAACGTAAGAGGCACGTAACCCCACGTGCTTATATCGAATAGTGTGTACAACATATGACCGCCAGGTGTCGAGTGAGTATGCGTCGATGAAAGCATCAAATTGTCCAAATTGTACAAGCCCGGTAATTTGGGTTTGAGGTTCTTCAGCACCTGCCAATTGAAAATCGAATTATGATACAGCTCTGATCAGAGAATATCATAGTTGCAATTACACACCTCGATTTTCATGTTATCGCCCAACATGGCCGAGTCGACACTGACAAAAGCTATCCTCGAATTTCCGTCTTCAATTATGAAGGCTCTAGAAAACTGGCGCAGATGAATTCCCATTCCTCTCTGATCCATTTTACCGTATCCCATCTGCGAATAAGCAATTAATAATAACGTTTTGTGCGGCTAACAATTAATGAAAGAGCACGTCCGAAAATTATCAGACAGACACTCTCCCACGGGGGATTAATGCTGAAAATTCATTATGTGGCATAGGACCGTTTTACTATTGTTCTGGAAGCAATTATTTAACTCGGCTGACTATATTGGAAGCGTTTTGTATAATGTGATACTAATAGCTATAAAATTATTATTATTATAAAATGTCTCACTTGCCACGTGACACAATCGTTTTCAAAAGTTGTGTAACATTATTTATTAATTTTACACGAATAAGCCTAAGAAATGTGTAATTTATAATTTATTTTATATATAGCTTGAGGAAAATAGAATAATCATTAACAAATATTAGTATTATTATTATTGGAAACACTTACGAAAGTAACACCGGCCGGTGGTCCAGTTACATCGGCAATGCCCACTCCAATCTTATACATTGCCTGAGCTGCCGTGATCCATAGTGACATCAAGAGTATGAGCCCGATTTCTGAAACATGTAGAAATTATTGCAACAAAAAGTATTACATTAAAATAATAACTTATCGATATTAATCTTCTCTTTTTATGACTATTTACATGAATTTTGTGTCAAAAAAAAAAATGTTTTACAATTGCGATAAGTATTTTGTTTTTAATAGCTATTTATACTTACATAGTGTACAGTTTTAAACTTTAACCACAGAATAGACTAAATTTAATCTATTCTACGCTTAAACATTTTTTTAAAAATCCCATATAATAATGCAATGACATTTTAACCTTTCAAACGTCGTTCCTCTAAAATTATTAAAAATGCACTTATCACGACAGGTGGTCTGACATCTGTGCTCTATGGCATCGAATTTTAATTTTCATGGGTTTAGTATGTAAATGCTCTAGTAGCTTAATGACCTAGTAGTAATGCTAAGTGTTTATTAATATGTATATATATATATTTTTTATTTTTTGTATAGTGTTCATTTTAAACATTTTATTTATTAACCAACGTTTTAAGAATTGTAGGAGGACGTTATGCCGTCTAATTTATGTTCGTATGTTCAAATTTATAAAATCGCTCATTTCATGGGCGCAACTAGCCGTGAATTCTTAAGGACCTGAAGCTCGGCTGTAATAAAAAAATTCTCTTAAGAATAACTCTTAGGGCTATGATATAATATACAGTAAAAATATTTTATAAACTTTTCTTATTGGATATAAAATTCTATCCAGTTTTCTTTTGTAAATTTAATAACAATATCCTTCACAGTTACCACGTTCTTTACTACATTTATTTCATATTTAAAATTTTCCTTAGTTTTTATTATTCATAATATTTCTACATTTTTTTTTTTTTTATTAGCCAGTCAGGATTTTCCGCTAATAATTGCGCATTTTAGCATTAGCTAATACATTGCAAAGTGCGCGATATCATTTTATTATATATTTAATTTAATAGATACTAAGAAGAACGTTTTTTTTTTTAATATAGACAATGACATACCAATTGAGATCGATAATAACAACCAAAAAAGACAAACCATTATAAAATCGCCTCGAAGCTACTATTATGTGAGTACCAAATCGTTTCATTGAAATTATTTAATCAATTTTAATTTGTAGTTTGGTAACTGTAGTAGTCAGCCGCTCGCGGCATTAAGTCTATTACAAAAACAATTGATCGTTTTATCATTCAACGATATCTTTCTATTAAATCTATTGTTATTTGTTACCGATTTTAAGCTATTAATCGTACTTCAGTTACCTTAGCCATATAAAAACTCATAAAATATATGTATAAAATTACAATTAGGTATCATATGGGTCGTTCATTGTAAAAGTGGTGTAACGCCAAATTTTCAAAATATACATGTTATTGCTTAATGGAGTCACATTTAGTCGTTGGTATATTTCATTATAAAAGAGAAGCTACTCCAATAATTGCAAAAATAAAATAAAAATTGGAAAACATTGAACGAATACTTGTATTGTTTTACCTACACATTAATTTTCAGAAAGCTCGTTATTTCAAAATTCAATTACAAGGAGATAGTTCACTTTTACAATGAACGACACATGCGCGTATGATATTTTATTGTTAGGTACTTATTGTAGTACAGAAAGCTTTTTTTTTTATTATTGACAATGACAAAATAGAAAGCTAGTTGTAAATTTACTGCATAATCTATAGGCTTTAGGTATCCCGAAGGACACACTTATTTGGATAATTAATATGGATTGTTTTCAATAATATCATAGTCTTCCTGCGTTTACGGTGTTCGAATTATTATTATTTGGCGGAAGTAGCACAATTTGAATTTTGCAATGTCAAGGCCATTCGCGTGTCGACTGTGTACCATACCGATAATATCGGTAAAAGTGAACAACTGAAAACGATAGTGATCGTATGTCCGCCGGAAGTAATTTATGTTTTTGATATTATTATTATTTAGGTATGCATATATTGATGTGCATGGTTCGTGAGTGTACGCTAGATGCATGGTAATGGATGCATTAATTAAACAATATACCTGGTTGTCTACAATAGATATAATAATATTAATTAATAATTATACCTGTGTTTTTTATTCAAGTGCGAATTTAACAGCAATACCTTCACCTAACTATAGCAATAACTGTCGTTTTCCTTATAAAACCTTAATGTATAATAATATATTTTATATAAAATGTATTAAATTAAATAGTATGATAATAACATGAATATAATATCATATTATATGTATAATAATTATAATTAATTTTGCGCATACGGCATAACTTTTAAAATTATAATGAATCATTTTAATTAAATATTACTTAAATAATTATTATAAAATATATTAGGATTTATGTACATAGTTTATTATTCGCAGTATAAAACAAAAATGATACACTACATATTCCACGAAACAATGTTGTGTGCCATATTGTGTGGAAATTACTAGATCATACTTTCTTTTAAAAGCTTTAGTGTTATAATAACATAGTATATTGTGTATTATTATTATACCTACTTGTTTTATGGTTGTGTTTTTAAACCGAAAATGAAAAATAATATCTACGTTACAGTATAACATGATACTATAGGCGTTCTTTTGTTACACACCGAGTTGAAATTTATTATAAAAATATTATATTGTATAGGCACAAGCGTAAAATTTGTATAGAAGCTACGTGACGTTGGGGGGGAAGGTTATTCCTATTATTGTTAGGGCTCGGAATAGTTTATTCACTTGAAAGTTTTTACTAAATAGTCCGAAAAAAGCTACAAATGTAATTTGCATTTAAAAATGTTAATTCAAATATTTGTATTGCTTATTTTAACATATAATTCGAGATTTTTTTATAGTTCTTTACATGACAATTTAAAATATTTTTTAGAAAAATACAGAATTTTATTATAGCAAAAATTAACATAATCAAATGAAAAAGAAAAAGTTGCCAGTTTTTTGTTTGTACAATTTGTTTTTTTCGTTTTTTCTTTAAAGTATTAGTTTTATTTATTTCTCCATAAAACGCTTTATTGTTAATACACAGAGCTCTTCAATTACATCGTAATGTTTAAGGATAACTGAATTTAGTTAAGTGACTCACCAATTGACAAAAAATCCGTTAATTAACAATTATGTAAGTTGTCTAAACAGAAGGACAATTAATTAAAAATTAATTCAATAGTCTTATTTCTAAACTAAAGAGTCAAATTCCTTTAATCACAGTTTACACTTCATTCGCATTTACTTGGCGGCGATTGTTAAATTAATGTTTATTCTAACTAAAGAAGATATTAAAACTGTCTTTAAATCAGTCTTATAGATGAATGATGAACGCATTATACATTAGAATGATAAACTTACATTCGATAAACTGAAAAAAAATTATTAAGCGAGGACCTGCCTTGATAAAAAAATATTATAATATAGTAAGTAAATATTGTAAGAATTTTCTAATCACATAAAGTGTTTTTTTAATAGACTTCATTTTGTTGTTGATTAAATAAAAGACTGTTAGATTCTTACGCTTGTTTTTTATATTTTAATTTTATTCCACGAAAGTGTGATGTATTTTTATTTTACATTCACTCATCATTCATCCCAGACCGTGACGGTTCATTATTATATTTTATCAGAATTTTTGTTGTATGATCTGTTAACCGCGTGCTATACAACATGGGCCTAAAAAACGTTTGGGTACAACAGGTGTCTTTGTTACCGATTAAGACGGTTCAAGAATAATTGCATGCGTTAGACGAGCGTAGGATCCATGATATGTCTGAGAAATGTTGGGAAGGACACAGGTAAAGGCTTTAAATTGAAAAGAATGCGACGAAAAGAAAGAAAAATACAAATAATATCGTCGCTAGAGGCTAAAATAACATAACCATTGACAAAAACCAACAAGCAAGTACTTTATAGTACTTAAATAAGTATAGCATTTAACATTTTTTTTAGCTTTTCATTCGGAATTAACTTATACGGGCGGAAACTGAAATCAAAATATATTTTGCCATATTATTGAAGTCTGCTACCAAAAATGTCATTATTACATTTATTTATAAGGAACATAATAAGTTTTTTTTTTTTTTATTAAAAATAAAAGAGATTGTGAGACGTTTCTGCTAAGCACACAATAATAGCTATTCCTAATTACTGGAAAAGGAAGACGAAGAATGAGAATTGAACAATAAAATTTTTTTCATAAGAAAATTAAAGAATGAAGTTAATGTGTATATTGTGGGAATGTACTGAAATTTGTCTGCGATATTTGATAAAATGATACTGGAAGACTTTGTAGCGTATATAGACTTAGTGACAGGATAAACATGATATCTACCTGTTAATAATAATTGTCAAAATACTAACATGTTCATGCCTCGCAGAGAATAATTTCAATACACGTTGTTTTCATCTGATATTACTGACAATAAGTACCGTGTTAATTATTTTTTGAGAGACCAACAGTTCTACCTAGGTAAAATAGTATACTAAAATTAAAACTTCTCCAGTGACTGTATAGTCTCACAAAGTCAACACTCAAATGAAGAAAGTAAAATTGTATTATGTTCAAATAATTACAGATGTCACTTATAATAAAGACCTACGGGCTACGGGATATATGTAACCATTGAATTTTATAAATGCATTATATTCCTCGGCATGAGATCATTCTTCTGTGAAACGAAGTGTCATATTTGCGCGGCTCAGGTGAATTCTTATTACTATTCAAACAACGCTGTGCATAATATGATATGTGTCAAAACGTTGTCTTAACTTAGGTACTTCGTACATCATAATTCTAACTAATTGCTAAAGAAATTATACTTTGCACGCGTATTACAATAATAGAAAAGACGTTAAATATAAATAATGCAATATGTAATTCTAACACATAAACAAGTTTTTGAATATAATAACATGAATTAACAGAAAGTCTGTACATATTTTACTCATTAAAATATATATATATATATATATATATATATTATTTTAACATGAAACGTTCGATAATTTGTAATATAAATGTGTAACTTTCGAAAATATTAAACTTTTACTATTATAACGAATTACATTGCACCGATTATTTCTTTAATTTAAAAACATTTAAACATACCCTTATAATTCATAGAGTAATAATTTAAAGAGATGTTCTGACATACAATAGCTTGTATGCAATATAGTGAATCAAACAGAAGAATTAAAACCAGTACGACCACACAAAAGAAAACAATTTTCTTTGTAGAGCAGTTGGTCCTCTATATGACAAAATAAGTTTTTTACTACTTATCTCGAAATATTGTTTTTTTTGTCAAGATCTGTCATCATTGACGTTTTATCACCATAGTGTATTAAACCATATTCTTTTCTTCTGACTAGGCAAACTGAATTTAGTCTTTCTTTTTGCGTCACATTAAAACTACAATAGCTGCCCCTTGATATAATTTCTATTCCCAAGGGCGGTAATTGAACGTTAGATATCATGGAACTACTATTAAAATGAAATTATGTTCTAGTGTATATTACATTGTACATTACTGTTAATCTAGAATAGGCCTAAAGAGAATCGACAAGAACCGAGGACAACCTAATAGTTTTTTTTCGAGTAAAATACAAAAATAAATTAAGTCCTAATTACCTAACTTTTTAAAACATTACCGGCAAATAACAATAACACTTTTTATGTAACGATCAAAATATTGAAAATTATTTGTATTTGTAATATATTTCTTGAAATTGTGTACTCAGTAACGCCACACCACTTATTTATTACGGGGTAATATACAGGCGCTTTTTGAAAAAAAATTGTATAGAGAGCTTTAATTATTAATAATCATTACTTACATTAAATTATTATTTAATGTAAGTAATGATTATTCGATAGCCAGTTTTGAATAAGTACTTCTTAAGTTATTTGCATTTAAATTTATAGACGGAGGCGTAATATATAAAAAAATAAACATTGCACTCCACTCCTTACTTCGTCAATAACTTTAAATGCCAATAACCCGAGAAGTATTAACTCAAAACAGATTTTCGACTAGTCATAATTTGCATTACATCATTCCGCTTTAAATATTGGTAAATTATAGGTATTTGTTAAATATATTGGTACCTATTTGTTTTTAAAAGGTTACTCTATTGAACTATAGTATATAATAATATTAACTTGAACAATACAAACTAGTTTGAATGATTTAATGTAATAACTATTTTATTTGAAATATTTATAACTAAAATAGTTACATCATAGAAACTGCACGGTAACAGTTTATTAACCCTGTGAGTTCAATCTAATTTTTCAAAAAATTTAATTTTTAAGTTCCCGCCACTTCTGGAAAATAGGTTAATGCTATTATACTCGTATGTTTGCAAAGTTGAAACTAATTCGACTGTTTTATCACAGAATTATAGAGAGATGCAATTTTAATTTGAAAAATATACTTATTATTTTGGAGTTTTTTTTCAATTTTGAAGAACAAATAGTGAATTTTTCACATTTTGGGTATGATGTCTGATCTATAGCCTTTCTACACAATACAATCAGATTTTAATGAAACATAAAAAAATTAAACAATTTTTTTATTTTACAGTAGAAAATATACACGTGTGTGTTGTGTGTGTATCTAACTGATACACGGTAATTAAACCCTAGCCGATAAAGTATAAAAGAATTCTTTGGAAATACAAATTCCATCATGTCATGGCCTTAACTCTTCAAAACCGGTTGCGTTAAAAAAAAATCAACATTAATCCATCGAGTGAGGATCGTATGATTTATTATTAAATTCGATTAAGGCTTATGTTTCAATAAAAATAAACCGACAAGGTTAAAATTTGTTGGCTGCAAAACTTTATAGAAAGTACTTATTATCAATATCGTAGGTCAAATATTTGATTTTGTTATTTAATATATGCAAATAAATGTTTTTGCAATATAGGCATATTATGTAAATGTATCTTATACAGTAGTCGTAGAATGTTTAGTTGTTAAAATATATTGTTACATTTCACACTTGTAAATACTTGAGTAAACGTAGCATTGGAGACTGGAGTACATACTAGACACTATAGATTAATCCTTGGTTAAGATACTTTATCATACTGATAATGAACCTACGTTGTTTATTAAGTCACACAGTAGGTCATATTTCTGTCTTAATGTGTGTATTTTAGCAGCTCTTTCTGACTATATTTATGAGCAACGAATACTTATAGGCTACGCTTGTCTTGTGCATGTAATTACTAATTAGCTAAAATTATAATCGTGGATGTGCGTGAATACCAAGATATTGTGCCATAGAATATCATTTTTTTTGAAAACAAAAATAATATTCATAATATAACTTAAAATCTAGCGGTTGGGAAATAAACAGTTTTTGTGTACTTTCAAAAAAAAAATGTAAAACTACATTTTTAGAAAGTGACATAAGATAGAGTTTAAAATCCATTGTTATAAAAAAAGTTTTAGAAAAAGAAATAGTTAACATTTATTATATAACAATTATAGGCAATATAACTGAAAGTTCTAGCATCATAAATACTTAAAGTCCATAATTCAGGAAGGTGATCATAAATCTAACATTACATTTTCTTAATTCTTTGGTATTTACAAATCCGACAAGTAAACAAATGATAAATACTAGTATTTATCTGTTTCCTATAATTTAAATTGATCAGTCCTATTGATGAACAAAAACTGATCAGACCAAACTGTTTCATCGCCATTTTCAATAGTCATTACATGACAGGTTTAGGTAATCAGTGCTCCGGGTCCGAGTTTTCACGACTTTAGGTCATAATGACTTAGGGTCCTCTGTAATCTCCCCAACGTGTCCCCTTTCAGCTTTCTTCATTCCTCAAAGCCCTACCGATTATCTAAATAATAAACCTATAGCTCGTTGCACGAGATAAGCCAATCTGGACTAATTTCTCCTTGAATAAATTATCTAATAAACGTATACAAACAGTTCAATATGTACAATACACTCTACTTTTAATTTTGTCCTACTGTCCGTTCAATGTAATAAATAAATAAACTATTTTATTTGGAAATCCAAAAAGTTAAAATGCCAATTACCATTAGTTGATAAAATAGAAATAATCGCTTGCCAAGTCAAAGTTCAAATGAAGACTTTTTTGATTTTTAATTTTTGAAGAATTATTTAAATTGTATTTTTTATCATTGGGCAGTTTATTCAAAAAGTATGAAAATTGAAGAGGAAAAATATGTTTTAATGATATACAATTTTAAAGCTCTGTAGCGAATGAATTATACAACATCAAAAAGAGTTCCAAAAAGCTTCGCTGCACTTCTACATGTCGAGGTGATTCTAATAAGGTTTTAAATAACAAAATCCGTTAATCTATTTCAGAGATTTGCGTGGCTAAAGAAAAAAGTAGCTAAAATTGAAAATTTTCTTAATTTTAAAAAACGTCATTCGATGATTAAACATTTTTTTTTTCTTCGTATTATGTATCTTCTCTGCAAGCTCTTTCTAATGAGCTTCGATTCAACTTTCTGCCTCTTACAGTTTAAGAGAAAGCGTTTATAAGATGTATAACACACAGACTTTTTTCAAATTCAAATAATTATACCGCATGGGTATGAATACGATCCATCTGTATATTATCTTAAATTGAAGCTAAGACAAATATCTACCTTCCCACTGTTAGTGTGTAACATTTTGTTTTTTTCTTATTCACAACAAGCTCTTAATGTAAACAATACATTTTTTTTTTCATTCCAAATAAGAAGTTGTTAAAAAACAAATACCGTTATAATTATTGTTAAATTCTGAATGTCATTCGACGGGGTAGTTACAGTACCGAACACTTACTCATGATTGATTCGTTCGATGGTGGTGGTTTGTGATGATTTTAAAATTTCATAGCGAGGTTTCCGTTTTCATTAAACCGCACACACACACTACAAACGCATACAGAACGAGTGAAGGTTAAAAAACTACGTGTTTCGTGTCCCGCAGCCGGTTGTAATCTGCCGTTGCCGGCCGGCGATCTCATGACTGATGAACGGACATTAAAGATACCCCACTTATAATGGTAACCATTAAAAAATGTATGTATAATAATAATAATACAAACTATTTGTTTTTTTTTTTTGTTCCAATTCAACCGAATCGCCAACGTAAGTGTGCTATCAACTCGTGTTCAAATCAAGTTCACAGATCTACTTACATACCGTTTTAAGTAATAGATAAGTATCAGGTACCACATACAGTGCAAAATATTTTATCCTCTCGAAACTCGGTTGAATGATAACAGTTCGTTGTGCCGTATCGTTATTATAGCATGAGCATAATATTTTTATCGAATGCCATAAACTATAATATTAACATGGATATTATTAGGGTTTCGGGCTCGACAGACAACCGAAATTTTCGACACATTTTATGTCACAAAGTGACGTCATTCGATGACTGAGACTGGTGTGTTTAGCGCGACCGGTTCACGGTTCGATCCCCGGCCGTGATTCTAAACTTTTTGCATTTTTCCGACCGGTTATTTTCGAATTATTATAAACTCAAAATTATCTCTTATTAATACTAACAACATTTAATATTCGTATTGCGAGTCATTGATCACATGACGCGTATTTAGGCAGGTAGCTACTTCAAGCAAAAAACATCTGTGATTCAATGTTTTTCCGCACAGCGAAGAAATGAGCTTTTTTTTTTAAGAAATACATTACAAAAAAAAAAATAAGATATATTTGAAGGGCTGCGGGGAAAAAAGATCAATGACAATTTTTTTTTGAAAATTAGATTTTGGTATAACATTATTTGTATTAACGTATTGTATCTTTTATGCGCTCGAAACAGAGAAAAAACAGATTAGTCGAGAATAACGACCGCCGAAAGGTTAGGCATACAGGCAAAATGTACTACGTTTTGAAATAAAAAACATGATTTTCTCAGAATGAAAAAAAATTTACATTGATCTTTTTTTCCAGCATCCCTTCAATTGTCTATTATACTAATAACTTTGTTCTGATCGAATTTTTATTTGTATTGAGAAATTTTAACCGGTTCTCGCGGTTTGAACCATTTTCAGTCTGTCTTTGTTTTTAATATTAACGTTTGTCTTATTAGTATGTTAAACATTTTGTTTTTTATATGGCTTATTAAACATTTACAAGTTTTTAAAAACTTCCCCCAGGTAAGTTTGATCAGAACGTGATTCTTTGTAACCAGAATGTGGACATCCACGAAAGAATATTTTTTACAATATTTAATTTTTAAACAGCTAGTTTACTTCAATCATTGCAGAAAGAAATATTTAGTCTTATGTAGTAGGAACCCACTATTTTTAGCCTTGATTTTGGTTTTTAGTGTTTGTAACAAAACGTCTGCGACCATGTTCTCCTCGTTATTTGTTATGAATATTGCAAAATATATATACATGCATAAATTAGTTACTTTTGTTTATACTATATTATAATATGGTAGTATAATATATTGTATTATATTATATGTATTCCATTTTAACATAATATTGTTTTTTCCAATGTTTTATCAGTTTGGTAAGATTCCCATTCCCTTATTATGTTTCCCATCATCGTCAAATGTAAACTTAGTGTTAATTAGTCAACACGCTTGATTATATTGTATTAAACAATTATATTTAAATTATTTTCGACAACACCATTAAAAATAACTCGTAATTAATTTACAGCGTAAAGGACTGTGATGTTAAAAATGTTTTACAGTAGGTAAGTTGTTGAATAACAACGAGCGAAGAATATTAATCACATCAGTTGACATTCAATGTTAATGGCAATTCGATTTTTTATAACCTACAGTCCATGCTAGGTATAATATATTATATTGTGTACAACGTATATAGAATGTAAATAGAGAGTATTATAACAGTCTGATATACCTACAAATATTATACAATATGCAAATATGTTAGATCATCTTGATGCACTTTATATTATCATACATGCTCAATTAGTAATTTGTATTGTTAAGCCCTTAGTTCTCAACACTTACTATAACAGCTATATATTTTTTCATTGTTCATTACTTTAGGTATAAAAAAATACTAATAGTAAAAATGTTTTTCTTAAATCAAATAATTCAAAATTAATTTTACTACAACAAAATTTCTAATTTTTCAAATTTTCAACACCGATTCTTCACATTTTGAGCAATATTATTTTTATAAAACTATCAATAATTTAATTAGAGGGATTCAGGGATGGGGAAATAAATATTATATCACATTTAAATACATATGTTGAGGTTTAAATTTAAAAAAATATAAAATCTCTAAGAACCCCTAAGAAATGTTTCTACGCCATTATAATATGTAACTAAAGTAGAATTTCTGTAATTACGTGATATTTATCATTTTTTTAATTTTTAAAAATAATATAATTAAAAATTCAAACACTTACTTGATACAGTATTTTTATTTATCTAAAAAAAATATATATATTCATGTACTGATATAGCCATAATAACTAAAATGTATAATACACGTGTCCAGCAGTGATGCAATTAAATTCAACAATCTGAATAAGTCTTCCCCATTTTATCGGCTACATACTACTTGCATCCCAAAAAATCTCACCTACCTACTGATTATAATCTCAGACGCAAGTAGTATGCACCGGTCTAACCTACCCAGTATTTAATTAAATAAACTAAACTCCGAATTTTACATGACTCTTTTGATATAGTGCTATTTAATGGTGAAAATATTAACAGATTTTATTTCTAGACCACGGTTTATATTGTTTAGATTACATTATGGTTTTACTTTGTTCCCTTATTATAATACATATTTTAATGCTTATGACCTTTGTAGTTTTGTTTTTACTTAGCTATCATTTACCTACACTTACCTAAGTGTTTTCGTTTAAATATCAGAAGTTTCTTTTTGTATAGAAATAAAAATGACACTCATTATTCCAGTACAAATTCCAGTATAAAGTGTTAATATATTCGTAATATAATAAAACTGATTAAAACACAAAGATATTATTATATAATATAAAATTATAATACAATAATTGTAATCCGTAACGAGACGGCACCTGACCACAGATAACGTCATGTTAGTTTTGGACTTATCAAACAGTCCATATGAGTTGTTTCTAATTATCTAGCAACGATTAACAACTAGCTGAAGCATGTTATAACAAAGTTGATAACAATAATTATCAAAGTAAATCGAAAACATTAATTAACTATAGTGTATACGGCCGTTTACGCGTGACCGTCCAACGGATATGGAAACTAAGTTTTATGTATTTTGTACTTAATGACTTTTTGTCGATAATCTTAAGCTTCTTTCGCCAGGTCTACCCCTCATATATATATATATATTTATTTGTTTAACACGCAGGCAGGGTTCGCAAACGCAGCCGTTACATTGCCCAGGGCATTTAACACAATATTTGGAATTTGCTAGGAAAAACATCTTTAAAGTATTGTTTGTCAAGTATATTTAATATACTAACCAAATTTGTGTGTGGGGCTTTCTTATAGATTTAGAATCCCAGGCCCTCTAGTTGTTCAAAGTTTTGCGCTGACATAATTGACACATTCTTATACACGAAGGAAACAGGTAAAAGGGTATTTGTCCATTTATGACAGTTTTTCAGAAGAGCAAAAACAAAATTGCTTTACGCGAACAAATCTATGTGTTAGTGGAAGTTGTTAGATGTGTTAGTGAAGTTAGCCCCACTGTAACCTCTCTTTCACCAAATGGATATGAAAATTCGACAGTAGGTAGCCCAAATGTACCATTGAATGGTACCATTACATCAAAATTGAAAAAAAAGGACAAACACCCTTCTTCTCCTGTGTTCTGCATTTATATATATAACAATGAAACATCTGAATATTATACATATACACATATGCATATATCAAACGTGACCGGCGAACCGATGACGCGGAATCGTGTCATGAAATTGTCTACTCAAATTTTGGAATGGCCATATTAAAACGTTGTAAACTAATACAGTGATCACTCTGTAAATGTTATATTACTGCGGCGTTTATTTTCCAAATTGCTGATTAGATATCTCATACTACAAAATATATTTTGTAATGTAAAATATCAATACACAACGTTTGTTTTTAGTTTCGACAGTCCATAGTAATTAAATTGGATAGTTTTAACTAAGAGCTTTATTTACCCACATATTTACAAAATTAAAGTGTTTAGAATCTACAACTTAATTTATTTTGAATTTATAACCTCGAATATAGTCAACAATAATAGTAATTCTATATAATATAATTTATAACATGTCGGTAAATTGTAGATTATATTAACGAATGAATTTTGTAGAATAAGTTAGTTAGTTATTAGAGTGTTATTAAATTACTATTTTATTTGAATTGTAATTTTTATACTTCCATTTTTTAAAGAAAAGCATGTAATTATTGTAATTGAGAAAGATCTATTAGTATGAGAATATTATATTATTTTTGATGTCGGAATAACGGACATTCCTTAATTTTAAAGTTAAATAATACTTGTCTAATTTGAATATTTTTCAATATTTTTGAATAATTTACAGTCGATAAAATAGTTTAAACTGCAAAAAAGTTTTTCTTGAGACGTGACAGGTAATTTATTTTTTTAAATTATAACTTTGAATTGTGAGTTTTGACAAATTATTTTTATTGTTTTTCTTAAATTGGTTTTTGTTCGAGCAAATGCCGCCAGGTGTGCCACAAATGTAGCTGGCGGTAATAAGAAATTATATTTTACTAAAAAATGTCTCAGTAGATGGAAGTTTTACAGAAACTGAGCGGTCAGATTGTGTCAAAGAGTTGATTTACATATTTTCACAAGTTTTTTTCGCTCAAATGTTTTGCAACGAAGATTTTCGGTTGATGAAATACGTATAATTCAATGACCTAGTTGTAGATAAAGTCTTAATACTTAACTTTATTTCTTAGGTAAACATGCGCTAAAACCTTTCAATTTCACAGAAACTCGAGTCTCCCGAAACATGTTTCTTCAG